GAATCCACCGTAGATAAGGTACCATGAGGTGAATGGGAGGTTGTAGATATGATCGGGGATCAAGGCGATTTGAGGCACGCCCATCGTAGGCATCATAGGCTGGTGCCAGAAGCTGCCGCCTCCCTTGACAGCGGTGAAAATGTAAACCAGGCACAGTGTCAAAATGCCTTCGACTGGGCCGGATATTATGCCCAGCGTTAAGACTTGGGTATAGTATTCATCCCATGTTTGAACGTAGAAGGTGAGTGCCGCTACAGGACCATTAGCAGGATATGCGTGGTAAAGGGTAAAACTTTTAAAGAGAAAGCAGGCGAAACATACAGCCAAATAGAGCCAAAACAGTCGCCCAGGTCTGTCCTAGGTTCAGAGCACCGGCAAACATAAGGACCTCTAGGGCGGTGTTGCACGCATCGACTCCTGCAGGGAAGGGGAAACGAAGGAATCCAGGGTCAGCTCCCGGTCACTTGAAAAAAGCAAGAACTGTTTAAGATTTACCATGGTCAAAGAGCTCTCCCAACGGTCCGCTCTGGCGTGTTCTCCGGCTATGTTCCGGTCAGCTCTAACGGTTCAGGGAGGAAAGGGTTTGGTAACGACTTGGCATGACCGTCCAAGGCTTGTCAACAGGGTAGTGAGTGAGATAAGGACGTACGCCTGGGTTCCATCGACAGCGTCGAAGGTCTGATACAAGAACAACCCGACAGCCCAGCTGAGATACACCCAAGGCGGACAATCGGTGTCCAAGCCGGGATTATACCAGAGCAGAGTGAGGAAATTGATGACCACAAACGAGAAACCAGTCAATGTGATCTGTTCAAAGAAACCGGGGTTAGTTTCTCACATCCAACCCACCCTATTTGAAAAAGAAGACGAAGAAGAAGAAGAAGAGAAGATGTTAAGTATAGCTCCCGAAAAATCGCACCCACTTACAAGATTCGGCCTAAGCACGGTTTGCATTAAAAAAACCAACAGCAACTTCGTTAGAACTTTTTGTGCACTTTTCTCATCACACCACAAGCCCAAGCCTTGACGAGACGTCGGCGAACTCCCCCCTGTCTCTATGGATGCTTGGTATACAAGGGGAAATGGTTATTATGGACAGCTGTGGTGCACTCACGCCATTGACATCGGGAAACACTTGATCACCACATGTGTATAGAAGGGCTTCATGATATAGCGCGAGACCAGGGACCTGTCCACGCCGGAGTACTTATACTGGCGCAGGGCCTCGAGGTCCCATTGTCGAATATACACCATGGCGAGCGGGTAGACAAGGATGCCTTTTTTTTTTTTTTGGTTGTCCCCTAGATAGAAGCGATAGAATTAGAGGTACCCTCTGAAAGAGGGGAGTTACGATTTTGTCCCGGACGAGAAAAGTACCGGGAGTCTGGTGGTGCGTTCGGCTTGGCTATTTATTGTGATAGAAGAGACATACGAGACTCTTGTTGGTTGGGGTGGAAGCGGAATTATGGATGGGGGAAGGATTTAAAAGCAGAAGAGGAGGAAGAGGAGGAAGAGGGGGGGATCTATGCCGCTGCTTTGCATGGGGAGAGAGGAGCTTGGGACTCTTTAACTAAGGAGTTATTGATGAAGAATAAGGCTCAGCGCTGCGGATGGTGGTGGTTAACCTAATGGCTGCCCCTCTCTCTAGGTCGATGATGCCGGTGATCTCGCAGAGTCTCTCCTGATTGTCTCTCATTATTCTCGCATCGCCAACCTTTTTTTTTTCCTGTATTTTTTTTTTTTTTTTTTTGCTTGTGAACACGCCAGAAACGTTGAATTCCCCGACGGCGCGCTCTCATTGGCTGGCTCCGGGGCTCGGTTGAACCTTCCTTCCGCCAAGTCTTTCTTGCCAGGAACAGCATTTGGGGGGAAAAAAAGGTGCAAAATTCAATTCCGTCAACAAACAACCATATTCAGGCACAGATATGGAGATAAATAAAGAACCCTTGATGTGTTTTGGGCAGTTGCTATGTAGGGTAAATGTACTATGCTATGCAGGCAGGCTCATGGTGGTTATTGTCTGGTTCTAGAAAGAGCCCACGCCTGTAATTGTTTACACAACAGATAGAACTTATGAAAGGGGAAAGCGACTCTCCCTCTCTCTCTCTCTCGGCCAGAATGCGCCGAACCAGGACAGAACGAGCCGGCCGCCGGGAAACCACCCCTGGAGCCACCCCGCCGGCCGTGGCCTTTTCGCTGTGGCTTTGTAAGTTGCTTTGCTGTCACTTTCTTTGCCCTTTCGAATCGCTGGCCTGCTGCTACTTTCCCGTCGCCGAATCCTCGCAAATTTCCGCTCATTGGGAGGGAAAAAAAAAAAAAAAAAAAAAAAAAAAAAAAAGGAAAAAAAAGGGGAAAAAAAGGCCGTTCGTTCCCACCAACCACCACTGTCCTCCTAACCATATGACGTCAGTGCCGTGTCTGGCCAGCTGCGTAGTAGAAATAATATCCCGCTCACAAAATAGATGCCCCCCCGTAAAGATGCTTTATCCGAGAGAAGCGCCGGGAATTGCTGGGCTGGTTGTCATCCTTACCCCACCGGGCTCCACGGCATGGGAATGAGGATACGGCTCTTCATCGTCTGGATCAGCGGAACCGTCTTGTGCACCGTGTCGGCCCAGCCCTCGATGTTCCAGGACTCCTCGCGTCTCTTCTTGCGCTCCTCGAGGTCCGCAAACTGCCACAGGTGGTGCACGGTGTTGAGATCGCCAATCTGCACAAACCACGCTCCAACTCCCTCCATCACCACACGTCTGGCCGCCAGGCCCTTTCTCCAGTGGCTTTCCCACTCCAACAGGTTGCCCGGATGCAGGGTGTAGGAGCGAAGCTCAAAGATGCCGCCGAGGCGACGGGGTGGAGTGGTCGGCCAGAAGGAGAATTCTTGCATCAATGATGTGTTCTTGCTCTCGATCAGGGACTTCAGGTGACGATCGAACTTGGGGAAATCGGGGTGCTTCGAAATGTTATGGAGCGATCCATGGTATCCAGTGTAGCGCTGATATTCCCAAATATGAACTAGAGGAGGGAGGAAAAAAAAGTAGTTAACAAAACAATTTCAGCAAAAGAAGGGATGCAAGGGATGTAGCAACAATGTGCCCTCGGAGGGGAAAACATCATACCAAAGGTATCGTTATCTCCGACCTGGGTGCGCCAGCTTCCAACGAGGTTCACACGGTTGGCTTCGAGAGCCGCCATCTTGGGGTACCATTCTCCCACCAATTCGACGTACTCGTCGACCTTGTCTGGTTTGACCTTATGGAAAACGATCGAGTGAACGTACTTGCCGCGAGCGAGAACTTCGGAGAACGACCTCTCGATGTCTCTGTCGAGCTGCTGGCCCTCTTTGGTTCCATAGATGAGGCTGGAGAGCGGGCCGCGCTTCGTGGTCTGGCTGTTGAGCTCCGATTGGCGTCTTTCTCCTAGAATCCGGTGAGTGGAAAGTGAGCCCAAGGCCTGGCCATCCAAATGATCGGCAGCATCGATGACAGGGCGGGTGGCCGATCCGCTTGCGTCGCCCGTGGGCCGAGCAACGGAAGCAGAGGAACCCGTGGAGGCAGAGGAGGCAGAGGAGGTAGAGGAGGAGGAGGAGGAAGAAGAAGAAACGGAACTATCAACCGACTGACTCTCTTGCTCTAGCTTTTTCTTCCGTGCGGCTTCGAGATTCTCACGGAATTCCTTCTGACGCTGATTGAATGTAGCAGCATTGTCTGGGGTGATGTCTCTGATGGAGGGGGCCTTGAAACAAACAGAGGAGGTAGTAAAGGTGCGGGAGAGAAGTGAGGGGGAGATGCTGGGCCGAAGACGCGTTGCCAGCATGGTGGGTTGGGTGGTCTGTTGATTGGGGTCGTGTGCAGGGTTGAGAGAGATATGAGACGGAAGGAGAGGATGCAGACGGATTCAACAAGTGCGAGTCAAAGAATATGCTAGCACGGAAAGGCTGAAGAATGAATACAAATAGGAAAGCAAAGGATATTGAACACAAAAAAGAAGAAGAGAAGGGGGTGGAGGAGGAGGAGGGAGACGGAAAACAACCGCTGGAGGCAAAGGTGAGGTTTGGCGGAGAGAGTGCAAGGATGCGGGACAGCAGAGCTAGGCCACTTTGACGACGGGCCAGGAACCAGCTAAGCAGCGACAGTGACACATGCGACTATAGAAGTGAGGGGCAAAGGACAGGCAAGGTACTGTTCATGTAGCGTGAAGAAACAGGGGAGCGGACAAAAGGGTGCTTTGGATTCCAGGCGGTTTCAACCTGGGATGACAAGGGTTTTGGGGGTAGTTTGTGAGTTGAACGGGTGTGAAGGGGAGCCCAATGCTACTACAGACAATTGGAACAGCAGAGAGGAACAAGCGAGAAATACAGATCGATTGCAGGAGAGAAAAGGAGCGGAGAGCGTGGTTAATCGGCAGCAAGATGGTTAAGCGTTTACCCAAGCCGCTTGAGGAGAGCTACTTTGGCAGTACATCGAGGGAAGCGGAGAGGCTGCAGGGAAGCAGGCAGAGAGTTCGGGAGTGAGAGCGTTCGAGTTAAGTAAGTTGGTTAGGTAACTATCAAGGGCGACGTACAGTCCTACGGAGTTCCCCCGTCGAAAGAGGGAGGACCCAAGCCACACGCTTCCCCGACGGGAAATGCGGGGAAACTTTCTCACCACAGTACTCCGTAAACCACACGGGCAAAGCCTCAGTACGGAGTACTGCAAATCTCAGCGTAAAACCGCGCCATCCCGCTTTCGGCCAATACGACACGTGATTCACAATGGCTTACGTAACAATGACGTAGATCTCAGGCCACTGATGAATCACGTGATTGAGTCCGAGTATATGTGCCTAGGTCTCGGCCGGTCGGTGAGCTTTTGGTGGGCGATATTTGGGCTTGTCGACAACCCTGATGCTTTGATCTCTTGATCTCACGACGCATCTGCACCACTTGGGGCCCCCTGCTCATTAGATAGAGCTGCTGGAACCAATAGCCGACTCGTCCCGACTGTTAATTCAGCGGTAGCAAGATGGCCTCTCACAATCCTCCTCTCAGCTACGAACCCTCTGCCACCACCACCCACCCTCGCTACTCCACCACCCTCCCTCCAGAAGTTGTCTCCTGCCTCAAGAACTCCAGATTCGTACGGAACCCCAGCTCCCTTTGGCCACGTCAACTCCTCCCAGCATGGGCCACGACTAACCAGTACTCCCACCACATAGCTCCATCTCGCAACATGCGACAACCTCACCCCGCACATCTCCCTAATGTCCTATACCTACCTCCCCAGCACCCCTTTCTCCGCCCACCCAACCATCATCATGACCACCAACCCTTCCTCTAAAAAGACCATCAACCTCCTCTCCAACCCGCGCGTCTCCCTGCTCGTCCACGACTGGGTCTCCCACCGCCCACCCACCCGCACCCGCGACCCGGCCCGCGAGGGCTCCCCACCCCCGGCAGCCACCCAGTCCAGCCTCGCAACCCTCCTCCTGAACATCAACACCAGCGCCATGAGCAGCATCAGCACCACTATCACCGGCACCGCACGCTTCCTCGAGGCAGGCAGCGAGGAGGAGAAGTGGTGCAAGGAGCGGCACCTGGAGAATAACACGTTCGCCTCGGACTCGTCGGAGATGGGGATCTTCGGTCGTCCCGCAGAGGGCGGCTGTGTTGGTGGTGATGAGGGCGGTCAGGATGTGGATGTTCCCGTCGTGGAGGATGATGTGAGGGTTGTGATTGTCCAGGTGAAGGAGGGTCGCATTGCTGATTGGAAAGGTGGGGTGCGTGATTGGGTCGTGGTATCGGAGGATGAGGAGCGCCAGATAAGAGAAGGACAGCTGCAGCCTAATGGAATATGGTCATCGTGAGATAAGACCTGGGAAGTGGCTCCGCTCAGGCGTTTCTTCCCGCAAGAACAAAAAGCCAAAAAAAAAAAAAAAAAAAAAAAAAAAGAATTAAGGGACCATTGAAAAACGTTCCAGCCATCCCGAAGTTCGGGAGCTTGCCTGATGCAAACGAGCCAAGGATGATTTGGCGCTCTCGGAAAAAAAAAAAAAGGCCTCTGGTCCAAAACCTCCTCGATGTCTTACTATATTTACCATCTAGTATCGAGTGGAATGCTGCGCCATGTATCTGATAATTTCTGCAGCTCGTCTTTCGAAAATCAAAATTTTGATGACACGAAACACCAATAGCTGCCGTCGTATGCATACATACCGGTGCTCTTTAAGTGGCTGAAAGATTCGGATACGTACTAATGGCATAGCCCGAAGGGCGACTCGGAAACGGGGCTGTAGAGATGAGATGTGCCAATGACATTACATCCTTAACAATATAGATTCTAAGCTAGCCGGAATTGCAAACAGACATCACTTAACGAACACATTGAGAATACCGAAGAATCTGATTAAAAATAGCAAGGAAGAAATGGATGAAGTGCAAAAAGTTAGGCGAGGTCTCAAGAAAAGAACTTATCATACGAGTCATTGTGGTGTGAAATAGGAGAAATAGCCCGAGAGGAGGTGTCAAACCGAAAGTAAGAGCACAGCGTAATCACTGTTTAGCGATGCCAGAAAACCATAAAATGTAGTCAAATGTAGTGGAAGTACGAGTTGGCATATGAAGAAGTGTTAAAAAAAAAAAAAAAAAAAGGAGGGGGGAGGGGGAGGGAGACCGGAGTCACAGCTAGGCGAATGTGCTGCAGCAACGATTTGACAACGGGGTTCCTGTAGAACGCCTAGTCGCCAAACTTTAAAAAGGAGTTAAACATGGAAAACGGTCGCTGGCATGGAAGAATGAAAGCAAATGTCGTGTCACATTATGGGTTACGCCGCTTGTCGAGAGTTGTGCGGCACAGCCATGTCACTGGTGTGGCTATTTGTATTCTTTGGTGTAGTCCCACTGCGATGGCTGGAAATCCGGGTTCTGAAAATGGGCCTGGTTATGCTGAGAGCTACAAAATCAAACTTGGTCAGTAAACAGTGGCATGAAGGGATACCAAGAAACCCCACGATTGTACCAGATGCGCTAGAGAGTGGAGATTCAGTCACTTACTTTCGGAAAGGGACGGAGCTCAAGGGAATAGTATTCATTGGTTCACGGACCAAGGGATTCATCCGGATTGGCAGCTCGTTGGATCTATCAGGGGGAGGTGGCAAGGGACTGGCCGGCACGCCAGGCAAAAGTTGCTGCTCAAATGGCGGTGGAGGGCTGAAAGCCATGGGTGGATGGAATGCAGGGCCCGAACGTAGGGGTAGATAATGCGATATGTGAGGTGGTGGTGGATGTGTGCAAGTGTGTGTATCAAGAGTGAGAGAAGGAATTGCCATTAGATACGGATTGAAGTCGAATTGCAACCCGTTCCCACACCAAGGAGCGCATGTGTATGCCAATCCGACCTGGTAGTTGACTGGGATGTCGGAGTGCGAACCCAAAAGCCCCTGGTATAGAAGATCGTAGTGGCCCCTAAGGGGTTGTGCATTAGATTAGGTCAAGGGGGGGAAGGGAACAGCGGCACTCACGGTCGATAAAGTAATCTGATAGTAGCAAGGCTAGGCTGATTAGGAGTGAGTAGATGGAAATTGACCTCATTGCCGCTGCTCCGATCTAGGTAGGCAATCTGGACGGCAAAGCCTGAATCGGCGATGACGCCATCCACTAAGCCTTGGAGGCCAATCTCGTCGATTTCCGTTCTCACAGTCTCGATTGCCTTTGCACAGTAATTGTCCAGGGGCTCAGAAAGAAACGACTGATACCTGTCGCGATTCAGTCGCATCCAAGCGCTTGTCATCAACTAAGATAAATATCCAAGTCAGCAACGAGTAGGGAGAGCATATCCCACCGGGGAAAACGAACCCTGAAATGCTGGATTATAGAGGTTGAATTATATTCCAAATTAAACTCGTCCAGAAGAAACGTGTCGTCATAATTACCGGTCTCAATGGCCTTCGAGACCTTTGCGAGGAGGTCCATAGTTGCGTCAACGAACATCTCATAGAGGTCCTCCTGATGGCCGACGGAGTTCAATAAGTTGTTGAAACTTTTGATTCTGGCGGTTTCTTGAGCGACTTTGTTCAAGTCACGCAAATGGAAGAGATTTTCGAAATAGCCAAAGGCGATAGCTAGTTCAAACGTCAGCCTTAAGAGCTTTTCGTAGAGAGTATATCACTTGTTCCATACCTCTCCAGCCGCAATTGCCATCCCCTTTCATAATTCGATAGAATGAATGCGTCGCGGCAAGCGCCTATCTCTCAGTCAGATTCCTAGGTTAAGCATTTCAGTCTCCAGACCTGCAGACGTACAGAGGTCTTCGCGACATAGATCGGATGTCCCTGCGCGTACTCGCTAACAATTGCATCCGTCGATTGTTTTGGGCCGACGAGAGGACCCTACCTGGCGTTAGCAATGGAGCTCCTACTAGCATACATAGATAAATCGGGGTCCTACTTGTATATCCGGTTCGTACTCGTTGGAGAGTTTCTGGAACCGCTCCATATCGTCGGGAGGGAGGGAATTCATGATGAAGGTCGGGTCCGGGTCCTCGATGTAATGCGGATAGACCAAAGGCGGATGAACTTCTGCGAGCGTCCTGGGAAAGACTTCGTATTCTTGTAAGCTCAGATAGACGAGGGGATAGTCCACCAAGGGGTAAAAGTAGGGATGGAAGAGGTTGCTGTTGTCGAAGATAGGGTACATGTTGGTGAACGTCATTGCTGCTTCTGACCAAACACAAAGTAGCGACGAGCGACAACGGCACACGATTATTTCACAGACGGGGTATCAGACGAGGGCTACAACTGTAGACTTGTAGATCGAGGAAGAGGGAAAGCAATCGCTTGAAGACCTTAAAGGGGAGGGGAGGCGAGCATTGAAATAGGCGATTTGAAGGCGTGCTGGACAAAGACGAAAAGCAGAGAGCGCTGGCGGGCAGTGTCAAGAATGAAATGGAATACGTACTTTTCTCCCTTCCAAACAGGCTATTTATCAATAATGGATGTGACTGCAGCAGACGCAAGCTTGACGCTATAGGAATTCCGTGTCTCTAATGCCGTAACCCGTTGTTGTCGCTGTTGCCCGTCTGCAAGTTGCAATCATGACCACAGCAGCATCTTCTGGGAAGTGATCGGAGGGATTATCCACGGGTAACGGCGTTGTAACTGTGCAAACGAGCAGTTCCGGAAAATAAATACAGTATTATCGATCAAATCAACCCGATGATCGCAGTGCCTGGGACGTTGCACGTCTCGAGGCCGATCAAGCAATCTTGTGGTCGGGTTTTGTGGGCTTACGGAGAAAGGAGTTCCAAAGTTCTCGACGGAGCGAAAACGACGACAGCCTCACCTCCCATCTGCAAACATTGCTTTTCCTCTTCGACAGAGGCGAAAGCCCGCCAAGAGGGGGAAAAAGAGCTAGGACCGGTGACTTCACCTGTTTGTCCAGGCCAGCGGGTCGGCAACAGAGCACAAAGCCAACATCATCTGCGTTCTGATTGCTCGGTGCATGCAGGAAGAACGAGGGGCGGCGGGTTTGGAGAGGAGTTAGCGGGATCAGTCCCGTCTTCCCCCTCAGCAGCTCCAGCCTGCTGCTGGTACAATTATCCAGCCTATCGATAACACCCCTTCCATACGGCTCTCGAGGGCTAATGCGCCTTCGGGTCCAATGGGAAAGAGAAACAAGTCTCAGCCCCTGAACACCAATCGCGAGCCTTGTCTGGCAGCAAACGGCCGCTATGCGGAAGCTTGATACGCGCAACAGGCAGTTCGACGGGAAAACATTCGCCAAAATCCCTCGCCGCGAACCAAAACAAAATAATTTTGTAACGCGGGCGCCTGCAATGACTTCCACAGCATGCATACCAGAGTGCTGCCAGTGTTACGCCTCTTACGTTGTACTGCTTACCCAGCTGCCTCTACTCTTTTAGAGCCGGCGGTGAAGGATAAGGGTGTACTACGTATGGAGTGATACATTTTGATATCCCTCCCTGCCCACCAAGTCCCAGAACCCAAAAATATTTCCTATGATTTCACGGGTAGCTACATGAGTGGTTCTTCTATCAGCTGATTGAGGGAGACTAAAAGAAATACCTCTGCGCATAGGCAACATGACAATACGTGAAAGACAGGCCAGCAGCCAATGCTGTACCCCATTTCATCAGATGTTATGGTGGTTCACTGGATAATGCAAGGATAGTAAGAGGAGCACGCACGCTGTTGGTCCCAATACGGGGGAGAACTACAGTTACCATACAGAGTGCTCCGTACTTTGTTACAAGATACTCAGCATCCTAGCCATTCCCTGCATTTTTTGGCTCTCATTGAAGCAAAAAAGCCAGGGTATCGATATCGAGAAACCTCCGTCTTGTTCGTTGTTGCCGTAAGGGGGTCCAAGTCCGCTCGCTGACGGGCCTTTCAACCTTGAAACCCCTTTCGCGTTTTCTGGGCGTCTACGGAGGAGTAAGCGCTGGCTTCCCTGCTCAATCCTTGTCGATGCCTGGATCCGAGCTATTTTCCTACGCCACATCAACACACCTGGAAAATACATGCGATTGTGGGGTGATGCCCATGTTCGAGTGTCCGCTTTGCGGTCCACTGGTCGGTGGCTACGATATCCATGAAATTCGTCACTACCAGGCATTTCTATCTACCACACTCTGGCGTGTGAGGCTCGCGGCTCTCGATATCAATGAAGTCAGGAATTTCCTGCCTGTCTCATTACGTGCAAGCCCCATCTCTACCATGGTTTTGCGAACACATGGAATGCAATGGTATTCAGGTCGTGGGGCAGGGAACATCAAAGGACCACCATGATCAATAATGCAGAGTATTATTCGAGCAATTCCCTCCCAAAGTTTAGTTTCTGAAACTTTTCGCTTCCGGTTGCGCTGGATTGATCTTTCTTCTCTTTTCTTTTTCTTTATACAGCGGACCATAGGAATCCTGACTTGACAGGTTACAGCATACTCAACAAGGCCTGTTGAAGAGCGGACACGATACAGTTTCTCCGTACGGAGTACTCCGTGAACTGTTAGTTTTAGGTGCGTACCCAATGTAATTGCGTTCCCTCGCTTTGCTGTCCAGATACATTCTAAACCGTCTATCCCTGCAGCTGCAAACGTTCCACCCACCGTATGGCACATCACCATTACTGCGCATACTCCGTACAAGTCCTATGGTTGCTTTGCCATGTTGGACGACATACTCGTATTTCCCTCTGAGCTTTGGAGCAAACCAGATTGACAGCGCAGTCTTTAACCGAGCAACGCCGCCCATTGGAGCGCAAGATTCCGGTGTCCAGTTGTTTCTGGGTGTCAACGCCGCTAACAATTGATATTAGGGCTGATTGGCGTACACAGGATCATCTTTTGGGTTTTTATTGGGTTGTGAGTCAAACCTGTTTGCTCCATTCTGCAGACATTTGACTTTTGTGGTTACCATCTGCAAGAGCCGAGAGGAGGTTGTCCACAAGAATGCACCATCCGCATCGCTCGATCCACCGCCCTCGGTGACCTTTCTCATTTGGATATCCGACAATTTGTCGATTACCGATCCACTGCCTATCCGCCTCTCTTGAATCTTCATTTCAAATCCCTTCCTCCCGCGCTCGAATATACAAATTAGTTTGTACCACGACTTTCGGTCACACAGCCACTGAAGCCTGGACAGCCGATATGATTGTTCAGCTCGACAATCAAACGGTTGGAAACGAACTTCAAGACCGCGCCGTATGCTTATTACCAAATGATGTTGCCCGGTTTCTCTGTAACACTTGGCCCGCGTAGCCAGGCGGAACGAGACAATGTATCTGATATCATTATCTCTTCAGATCAAGTTACGCAGCGTAAACGAGCCTGGCTACAATTTATATGAATGGCAGGAAATACACGAGTACAATTGACAATGCTTGGTTGATCCCTTGTGATGGTCTATTAACATTTAACCGCGTGCATTCATACATACGAGAACCTGCCTTGAAAGCGGTAGCGGGACGGGCCAAAGCAGTACCGTGTTACACAACATGAGAGACTTTTGACAGAGTGATCAACTAGTACTCCTGCCCAGCTACTGACAGGTAGTACACTCTGACAATGCTAATACCAACTTTCCCATCAAGGCAACATACCAATTTGTTAAAAGTGGAAATCAAGTGCTAATTTACGGAATATGATTATTCATGTCATGCGATGCCTCCACCCGTGCGTACATATGCATGTGTTCCTCGGGTTTCAAGCCCAAACTCGAAAAGGGGATGCTACCCACGCAGATATGGAGTACGGAGTATGCTGTGACAATTTCAGGTCTTAATGCAAACCTGGGCGTCATGCAGCTGAAACAGAACAGCAAACGGGGGGAAAAAAATCTTTGTTCAAACGAAAGGAAATACTTCCCTACAGATAGTGAATTCTCTTTTGACAAGTCCTCCAATTGGGAGAAAATGAGATGTTTGTCTTCTCTCTTTCTCTCTCCCTCTTTCCTGGTCATATGGCTTTGTTTTCTCTTCCAGCGGTCTCTGTATTTGCTTTCAGATTACAAAAAAGGGATGGTCACATGGAAATGGCGTAAAATCGGACACAGCATCATGTTTAGTGCTGTTTGCTTTTGATATGCAGGCTTGTATTTACTGTCATGAGTGAATTGTGATTGCTGCAGGGGAGTGAAACTTCACAGGGGAAAGATTGCAGAAAATTCTTGTGATATAGTCACCTCAAGAAATCCGATTAGATGTACAGCAGGGTATACTGTACACCATGTCATTGTGTAAAACTACTCCGTACGCAAAAATTCATCCCATGGCCCTTGTATCACTATCACGGGATTAGACCATTAGGTCGTTTCTCGTTTTCCCGCTCGCTGCTTCAATATACGTGTGCTGTGCTACTCTAACCTAGCTACAAGTCGAGGCAACCATATTCCCAAGAAATTATTGGGATGATGGTACGGAGTATCTGCCGCCGGAAGGATTTGATCAACTTGAATACAACATTTCAAAAGAAAAAATCCGCTCAGATAAAGAGTTCCGAGACAGTCAAGCCAATCGAAGTGTTTGCCACACTATGAGAGAGCACAAAATGCAGCGGAATGTTCGGCGCAGCAAATGGCGTCAGGAGAGTTTACGTACATGCATGAGGCGTCCATTGATGTAACACACTCATTTTAAGCGGTGGCACTGGTGCGCCAGCCGCCGGAAACCCGCCAGGAACAGGAAAACAGGGTGACCCAAGGTTTTGTGTAAGACAGAAAACATGGGATGAGGTGGGTGGATTCGATCGCCCCAGGCTGTGTGCATTGTACAACTTTGTTCTCGACGGGCTTTGAAGGGGGTGAGGCCCCTCACCTGACTGTTGTGCGGGTAGCTGGAAGTATTCCAATTTGACATAGAGCAAATGCTGAGTGACCGATGTTCGTACCATTCTGGAGGAAAAACTTCCCCTTCAGAAGAGAAAGATACGTATGAGGGGAAATGAAAAGAAAGAAGGGGAGGCTGGCGAAGCTGCATGACCAAAATTACGTTTGCATCGCATAGTGCATACTGCATGCATGTTGTAAAGGTTCCGCAGTGTCGACTTGTCAAAGAGGTAAATCAGGGATTTGTCAGGGCCTATCGATGCGCCTTCTTTGTAGGCTTCCCCTTGGCGTGCTTCGGGTGACCTTGTTGCGGTCCCCTCCCAAGGCTCCGTAATGACCCAAGATGTGATCCGCCATGGCCCATCCCGAGGCTCGCCCCGCCCGTAAGGGAGCCGAGCATGCGCCCACTTTCGTCAGCCCTAAACCCGTCACCTTGACTTAGGACAGTATTCCATAACTTATTCAGTTCGCCCATCCACATGTCGACAGCAGCCAATCTCTCGGAGTCGTGCCGTCCTCCAATTGTCACAATGCCGGTTAGTTCGTCGATTTTCGCATCTTGTAGCTTACCGTCTAGGATAAGGTAGGAGAGGATATCTTGAACTTCGGGAACGGAGATTCTAAGTTGTTTTGATACGAAAGCAAGGGAGAAGCGGGTATATGGGGCAATTAGCTTGAGGACGGCCTTCGTGCGCATAGTCCGGCTGACTTCGTCGATGTTTTCGGCAATGAAGGGATCGGCGAGCAAGTCTTGGTTCTTTTTTAGGATGTCTTCGTAGGCGAGGATGTCGTCTCGTTGAAAAGCATCGACGAGGTCCGTCATAGCAGATATTCGGGGGTCATTTTTGTAGGGCTTCGTTTCTTGGGAATCGAAAGGGTTGATGTCGGATTTCATTAACATAGTAGTTAGAACGAGGTATTTCAGAACCTGTATTCGTTGCATAGACCCGGCTTCATCGTAGTTCCGAAAAGATTCGAAGAAGTCGCTTTGAGCTTCCTTCCAGTTTTCCTCACTCATGTGCATCTTGCCTCCGCATTCACGGATAATGCCCATGATTTTAGGGTGTGGCACGGCAGACCGGACCTTCAGAGCTTTCTGATACAGAGCTTTCAACCGCTTGTTGTTCTTGGTATTCGCGTACATTTGTATCTCTAGGGCGTAAACTTCCAACGAGTAAGTTCCCTTCGCGGGATCATCTGTTCCATCAGGTCGCTGACATGCCTTGTGCAGCTCCCGAACTTTCTTGCTTAGTTGTCCGTATTCTTTCCGATCTAGCCATAGCCTTGCCAGCTTGATATTCGTTTTTAACCAAAGTCGCTCATTGTTTGTGCTCTGGAAAGAATTCAACGTCAAAGAATAGAACTTCTCCATGCAGTGGTAGGCTTTCTCGTCTTCAGCGCCCTTTTCGATGTAGTCCAGCATATTATTGATTGACTTTTCAGAATAATTCCTCGTGACGGCCGATTTGACATATGTGAGGAGTTCTTGATAATGCTCAACAGCCTAAATGAGAAATTGTAAGTTCCATTGTTTCCGTAATCGTGCACCCCTTACAGGTATGTACTCACATCGTCATACCGACCCAGCTTAAATTCCAGTTTTATTGCTTGTTTTAGTCCTTTAAAACCCCTGCTCGGTTATCAGCGCCTGTCCAGCAGGCTATGAAAACATAGCATACCAATCGCCTTTGTCTTGCTCTAACAACGGGACGCCCAGGAACTCTTCAATCGCCTCCTCGGGATTTTCTCCTTTTATTTGTTTTGCATTGTAATATTTGTTCTCAATTCCAATGTCGCCGAGCTCATCGTCGTCAGCATCTTCATATTCAAAGTCGTACCTATCGGTTCCCCGTTAGCAGTGGTATCGTCAAAGCTCATTGTGAGGGTAAAGCGCACTCTTCCTGATCCGACTCTTGCATAAAATCGTCATCAGACATCTTGGAAATACAGCAATGGCCCTTCTCAAGTCAAAAAATTGGAGCGTTGGTCTCGTGTTTGTCCAGAGAGTAGCGATATAGGCTCGCTGATTGAGCACTGATCGCGCTGAACCTCGCTGGTAATGACATGAGATGGACTGGAGGGGAGCTTGGCACGTTAAACCTTAAATAATTTAGCGCGAATCTAAGTGTTAGCCACACTCTCCCGCGTTACTAAGCAATTTGGGGCTGGAAAGATAACCCGCCACCATTAAATCCATCGCGCTTCTGCGTCCTTCGACGCCAAACGAACCCCCAAGCCAGCAAAAGCATCGTCAAAATGGGTGGTGATCTCAATTTGAAGAAGAGCTGGAATCCGGTTCTGCTAAAGAACCAGGAGCGAGTATGGGTGGAACAGAAGAAAGCGCTCGAAGAGCGCAAACGCATTGACCAAATGATGAGAGAGCGGGCAGAAGAGCGACAGATACAAGAATTAGAAGAGATGCAAGAAGCTGCGGGTGGGAAGAAGCGATTGAATCGGGTTGACTGGATGTACTCTGGCCCCGCTGCTGGTCAGGCCGGGACAACAGAGGAGATGGAGGGCTATTTGCTTGGAAAGCGCCGGATCGATGGTTTGATTAAAGGGAACGACAACTCGAAGCTGGAGAAGTCATCCGGAGAGAGCTCCTTTATGGCTGTGCAGAATGCAAATAACGCGAAGGATATCGCTGCAAAGATTCGGGAGGATCCTATGCTGGCTATCAAAAAGCAGGAACAGGCAGCATACGAAGCTATGATGAATGACCCCACGCGACGGCGGGAGCTACTAAAGGCTGCAGGAATTGAGTCGCGCGAAAAGAGAAGTTCCGATAGGGACCGAAAGAATAGAAGGCATCGTCATCGAGATGATGAAGATCGTCATTCGAGGCACCGATCGAGAAGATACGATGAAGATGACCGCCGTGGCAGGCATCGCCACCGACACCGGCACGTGGAAAGCCGCTCGCGATCTAGATCCAGAAGCGTCAGACCTCTGGGTAGGTCTCACCGATCTCCGTCTCCTTATCGAAAGCGTCGATCATATTCCCCACGGGCTCAAGAGACCCGGTCCTACTATAGATCAAGGGATGGGCCATCCTATCCAAATAGGGAAAACCACTACGATTCCCGACGACCTTCTCCTCCAAGACGACGGGAAGGCACAGGTGAAAGACATCGTCAATTTACAAATGATGAAGACAGAGCAGCTCGGCTGGCTGCCATGCAACAAAATGCGGAAGAGCTTGATCACGCACGAGCTTCACGCCTGAGCGCTGCTGAAGCACGTGAAAATGCGCAGCGTGAAGCGGAGGAGGCTGCTCGGGCAGAATCCAGTAAATACGGCGGAAAGGGAGCATTTGTCAACGGACTCAACCGTCGCGCTGGAGATATTGATCTGGCGGATAGACTGCGCCGGGGAAGACGAGATATAGAGAAAGAACAGGAGGCATATTAATGTGGGATTTTATTATTAATGACGGTGTCTTAAGGTCGGAGTGTTATTCATGTGGTGGCATCTCGGAAATGTGGTGTTAGGGGCGTTTTCGGCTTCTGGGTAACTGCATCTAATATCCCGTCGTCTGAGTTTCATTTTTACCAAGAGGATGTACTATATGGTTATAGTGAAGCAAGGATTTGATTATCATGACTTGTTTGCTAGCATTTGTGAACACAGAACGGCGTACCGCTGCTGTGCCTTTTTCATTTCGAATCAAACGGTGAGCGTTGACCATCAATAGCCCGAAATTCCTCTCCAGCACACCGACTGTCGGTCCCCTGTCTTCGCTTATCAGGCCCGGGCTGTTTTGCAAAGATCGATGGTATAGGTTCAGGCAATAACCTGATCAAAACCTGCATAGGTAGCGAGCGCTTCCCCTCGGATTGACAGGCCACCCCTGGAAGAACCTTTTTTTTTTTTTTTTTTTTAACGACGATAATCGTATGAAAATATTATCTGGCCGAACAAATTGACAAGAAGAGCTGCACTCTCAGCCCTCTCCACCGGTAGCCCACGCCTGTCCGGTTTAGCCTCCCGGGTGATGTATGTAACATGGCGATGCCGGTGGACAACTCACCATGCTAAATAAATAGAAGGCCGAAGGTGGCTGTACAATGAGAGAGTTCTCGCTGATCTGCCAAGTGATTTATCTATATAGGAGACGAAGAGGATGCAATCGTCGAAAGCCTGATTGTTGCTCTCATGACGTGAAGCGAAAAGCATCTGCGGGTATTTAGATAATAGTGTCACTTGAGTGAGCGTTCCTCGACTCTCCGCCGACACTGTGACTTTCTCCTCCCACCTCGCACACCCTGCCAGTCACGTCTTTGCTTCTTTTCCTTCGTCTCTTCTTCTTCACATTTCTTCCTATCCTTAACATTTTCATTTTCCATTCATCTCTCCATACCTTATTCCTTACCTCTGGAAGCCTTCCGGTGCTCCGCGCCAACCTTATTTGACAGCCACCCCTGTGGTGCCGAACAGTAAACTATCAGAGCAAATACCCTTGAAGCCCGCCAAAACGACACATCCGCATTGGGTTCATCAGGCCTCCTGGTGTGGATCATAGCCCGATTTCTTGCACATCCGGCTATCCGAATCGTCTTGTCTCCCCGACCCTGTCGCCCGTACCGATTATTTAAATATTCATTGGAAAGTCCGTGTTTCAGGATGCCTGGTTTCAGTTTATGCGGGCGGGAAAAGGTGGTCCAGCGGAAGCTCGTGCTCTTGTTAGTCGAGAACAATGCCCTCATTTCCGTTTTCCTTCTCCCCGGGAGCTGCGCGCATGGGATAGTTGTTGGTGCCTGGCTGCCTTGCGCTGACGGTTGGAATAAACGGCTGTAGGGGCGATGGCGCTTGTGGCAAAACGTCGCTTCTGAACGTGTTTACGAGAGGGTAAGGTTCTATGATCTTTTTGCTCGCGACTGTTCCATTTCTCTTCGGGTTACATGGGGACCTTGAAATACTGATTTTACGTTAGGTTCTTCCCAACTGTCTAGTAAGATCTTTTCCTGTCCAGGCATCAATCGGAAGCCAGGTTAACAAGTTTTCCTTTTCCGTGCTGCTTCAGCGAGCCAACTGTGTTTGGTTCGTCTAAACCCCTTCCCGCTGCTCCTTCACTGGGCTTCTTTGCTGACGTACAGTTTAGAGAATTATGTTCACGGTATGACGTCCATCCTCCCGTAAGATGCCGCAGATTGAGACCGACGTTGATTGTTTTGCTTAGATATATTTGTCGACGGAATTCAATTGGAATTGTCCCTGTGGGACACTGCGGGACAGGAAGAATTTGACCGTTTGCGTGCCCTTTCTTATGATGACACCCACGTCATAATGCTCTGCTTTAGTGTGAGATGCAGCCCGCGAGTCTGGCCCTGTTACCTCATGATGTCAGTGGCTAATCGGGCTCGTTGTTAAACAGGTTGATAGCCCGAACTCCTTAGAGAATGTCCAGTCGAAATGGATCTCAGAAATCGCCGAAAACTGCCCCGGCGCAAAAATCGTTCTTGTTGCCTTGAAGTGTGATCTTCGAGAAGAGCTCAACGAGAAGGACAACACAGAAGACACCCCAGAACCCCGAAATGTGGTCACGTATGCCCAGGGCCTCGAAGTCGCCAAACGTATCGGAGCATTACGATATTTGGGTATGGGCTTATATATTGACGTCTGGTTTCTATCTACTGACCTTGGTTAGAATGCTCTGCGATGAGAAACCGTGGTGTAAACGAGGCCTTTACGGAAGCATCCAGAGTTGCAATTACCGTCCGTCCTGCCAAATCAGACAACGGTCCTAAATGTGTGATTCAGTGAATCACTGCACTGAGCTGAAAAGCTCCATATCGCTGCTTATGTTTTTATCATTCCTTTCGTTCGATCCGCAGAAATCGCCTGCGCCTCGCCCTCATTTTGCAACATACGACTTTTTATTCCTACGGTGGCCAAATTCTTGACGTATTGGGTTGCATTGGCTATTTTTCTTTTCTTTTCTTTTTCTTTCGAGCATACAAGCTGCACATTACCCCCTTGGAGGCTCCTGAATTCCTAATTTACCCTTTAGTGGCCTTCTGGCGTTTCACTTCGACAGTCGACTATTGTATATACCCTTTTTATCGACTGTATCTTTGACGATTTTCCTTGGTCGAAGCTTGCGAATTTATTAGTATCTGACGCTCCTATGTGAAATTTCGCTGCTGGCGATGAACCGTGCAATGGCGTGTGCAATGAAGAGATCTTTTCTGTCAGCGATGAGTTTACCTTTTTTTTAATCGCTCATCTGTTCCCTTGGAGCCGACATTCATGCATCTTTCTCTCTAACACTATGAAGATGTATTATAAAGCCGTCGTATGCCCTATGAATTTCCTTTTACGTTCCCAGTCGATTTGTTTCCGCTCGCAGTGGCCTGTTGATCCTTTTTTTTCTTCTGGCTCTTTTGGTGAAATGGGCTGTCAAGATCGAACCATACCTTTTTAGTCAAGGGTATCCTTTTCTTCTATTTTATATACCTGGTCTATCTTTGGGCCTAACCCTCCACTTGCGGTCCCTTCGTTCACCCTTCTAACGAACGCCTGCACAAAGCTCTCTGCGACCTCGCTTAATCCTCCTTTCACCTGTGCTCCTTGACCTTCAAGGCTTGCGGCATCTCTTCCCTCCAACCCACAAGCTACAATCTGTCGAAGAAACCACATAGGTTCCTCAGTGACATTCAGCCCAACCCCATAACTGCTAACGAACCTCCGCAAATGCACACCTACCGCCGCGATCTTTCTCGGCGCCGCGTCATCATCCGCCGTATCGACCCCCGTCGCGTTAGATGGCCGGACCCAAACCCCCGGATCATCGCTCAGGAGCCCCTTGATACCGTAGCCGGCCAGAACATCTAACACCGTCTCTTCCAGGAGCCGGATATGTGCTCTCGGCCCGATTCGTAGCCTGCGTAGATCTAGAATCGTATATGCGACTAGCTGTCCTGGTCCGTGATAGGTGGTCTGACCTCCTCGTAGCGTGGCATGGTATTCTGCGATCGGTGGGGAGGCGGTGAGAATGTGCCGGATGGGTTCTAGGGGTGTGGGCAGCCAGGGGCCCTTGGAGCTAGGTTGGGGGCGGTTTGGGTCAGGGGAAGGGGGAAGATCGCGTCTGCCGGTGGTGTAGACCGGCTGAGGCGTGAATGTGAGGATAGTCGGATCCGGGCATGGAAGGGTGGATGGGGAGTGGGAGAGTTTTTTGTGTGCGAGGAGGCGGGATACGAGGAGCTGCTGGAGGCGAGAGGCGTGCGTGAAGGATACGAGGCCCGGGAGGTGGAGGTGAGCGAGACGCATTGTCTGGAAGTTTTTTGAGCTGTCTCCAGGGCGTCAGAGAGTGTAGCGTTCGCTGAGGCTGCCGGTGGAGCGGAAGGAAGCGTGCTGTCAACGATCCGCTGGTCAGGACATGCTGCGGGAAATGAATACTCAATTATTGAGGCTCGGACGGTTAGGGGATGTCTCGTCTCTAGCATGATAACTCAAGTAATAGCAGAATTGAATGCCATTTCATCATATATCGATCTGGGAAGAAAATTTGGTGGTTGGAAATGTAGAGACGATCTCGGTTGCGTCACTTTGCACCTCGCCGCCCGCTTCGAGACTCGCCCGCGTCGGGAACCTTCGCCTGCTGCGCCATGGGACTGAGCCAACTCAAAGCGCGTCTGTTTACGATAATCCGACGGTCAAATACCCCACACAGCAGCAGGCGCCCTCTTGTCTCTTGAGGATCTCTGCTGTGGCGCTGGCCATGTAGACGAAATGCAAGTCTGATCGAGCGTTGAGGCCCTGGTTGAGATGAACGGACTAACCTTCGACTACTACAGGGTCGAGCTCTCTGTTCCCATCCGCCTGCGAAGGGCCATTCTTCTGAACGATGCCTTTCTCGTGAAGCGGATTGTGAGAAATAATCCTGAGTATCTAGAGAACCCGGACTACGATGATAAGAGCAACACGTCCTTGCACCTTGCTGCCATCCTGGGCCATCTTGATATCATCGTGAGTCCCAGCTATGTATACTACTGTTAACAAGAAAATTCCAGCCTCTAACTCTGTTCCCTCTTTTTATATAGAAATTCCTTGTCGACTTCGGGCATGACTTGTGCAACCCAGACTCCTCTCAACTCGGCTTCAACTCAACTCCCGGAATAAGTCTCAACACCGACTCCTCCACCCCTCTCCATCTGGCTGCTGCCAACGCCCACGCCGACTGTGTCGACTTTCTCTGCAGCACTTTCCCCCAGACCATAGATCGCCAGGATAAAAATGGAGCTACGCCCTTGATGCTGGCAGCTCGGGCCTCCAATCCGAGCAACACACCGCAGAGTACGACCGTCGTGCCTCCAAAGCAGAGACCACGTGCTACGTCGAATCCTACATCTGCGGAAGACACGAAGACCGTGGCTATATTGCTGGAGTATGGCGCTGATGTCACTCTGGCAGATAACGCCGGGAATACTGCATTGCATTACGCGAGTGCCTGGGGGAATTTGAAAGCGTTTAGGTTGCTTGTGCAGTGCAATGCACCGCCGCTGGTGAAAAATAACGCAGGAAGTGTACCGGCAGATTACGCGCTGACTGGTCAGGCGGCTATATACTGTAGGGGCCTCATTGCGGAGTTTGGGAGGCACAGGCTGGAGGAAGAGGAGCAAGAAGGGGAGGAAGATCGAGAACGCCAACATGCACAGCAACAGCAGCAGACGTCGACGAAGTTGAGTTTGAAGGTCAAAGCCAGTGAGCTAGGCCAGTTTACGAATGAAGCGAGAATATCGCCAGTTTCTCCAAACGAGACGAGGTTGATGGAGGCTTGGAAACGGGCCTCAAGCAGCCCAAGGAGACAGCCCATGAGCGCCGGAGGGGTGCGCTTAGTTAATGACGATACCGATCGAGACGACGATATCCCTTCAACTGTCTTCAAAGTGAACCTGCCAATGGTGGACGCGGCGACGAATGGGGATTACGAGAGCGATTGATCCGCCATCTGTCACGGTCATGAACGCCCACGAGAACGTGCCGTTCAGAACGTCTTTATTTATCTACCATTGATACGGAGCGATTCTGAATAAATTTGGCGATAACTCCGCATGGCGCTCCTCTCCGTTAATTCGTCCATCCCTATCTTCGTCTGCGACAGGCTAGGAGTGACATATTGGGCATTATAGGCCTCACTTTCCGAAAGGAAGATTAGCACGTCGGAGCGGCTATTTCATTACTATATACCTTACGAGGTTCTCTCGGTTTTTTCGGCACTTATCCCGTCAGTGCCTACCATTCAAAATTTTCACCGACACAATACGCCCACCACAATATTTAGAGCCCTGAATACATGAACGACTTAGGAAGTATCTTCGAATCCAGACCATCCAGGCCTGACCGAGCTCTCCCAGTGTCTAAACCCCTGTAATTCCCGGCCGGGGTGGGTGTCCCCCAATTATTTAACAAAGATGGTTGTTTCTTGAACATAAATCACAGTCACATAGTCTGGTTCAGAGCAGTGATATCTTTTCTTCTCTCTCCTTGTATGTAACACTTATATATACAAAACCATGCATAAACTAGAACTCCTGACACTAAGTACGCCATGCCGGTTTTTCTCCCATAAGGAGTCCTTCCAGGTTTAATAATACATGGGTTTTGTACAGGCAAGTCACAGCACAACAGACAGGAGTATCTGCTGGCCTTTAAGAAAAAGGCGCAGCACTGGAAACAAGACAGACACATAGAGGGATAATAATAGGAAATAGGGGCACGGTGTAATAATATGAAAGCTAATCAGACAGCCAACCAGGAAGAGAGGCCCATAGAAGTAAGTCTGATTTATAGACCAAGAGGTAGCAAATGGGAGAGCAGTAGTTATCAAAAACAAACAAAACAAGTATGCAGAATACAAACTCTAGCAATACCAATCCGTGAGAAGCCATCGATAGAGGGCTAAACAACAAGATAGTCCTAAAGGTGGAAGTGTGAAGATCTAGTGACAAATTTTGGGTTGCTTTTTTCTTCTCCAAATCTATTTTTCCACTTGTGCGGATTATACAATAATCAAACTCGAGGGGACTCTGGCTCGCTTTCATCAACACGATGGTAGATTCGGCCGTAAAACTCCGAGGATGACATAGGTGGATAAGACTGCCGGTTTACTTTCTTCTGGTCATAACCTTTTCACACATATCGATCAAGCCACGTTTCGCCTCGCTGTCTGGGAAGATGCTGATAGCTTCCACAGCCTTGTCTGCGTACTCTTGGGCCAGGGCACGAGTTTGTTCAAGGCCGTCAGACTGGGCGACAATTTGGCGAGCCTATTGAGTGGTACGAAAAGGATTAGCTCCGGTTTATTCAGGGTGACCGTAGAAAAAGGTTCTGGAAGCATAATACTCTAGAAAGAGCTCTGGGGGAACAGGCCACGCGTGCCATATGGGATGGAAGCTGGGAAATGAATGTTTTACTCACCAATTGAACATCTCCTTCATGGCAGAATTTCCTTCCTACCAGTGCACCAAGCTCGGGATGCGATCTCCAAGCAAACAACAATGGAGCAGTGGCGAGACCGAGCTCCAAATCTGCGCCAGCTGGCTTACCTAGCTCTTCACCACTAATCGTGTAGTCCAGCATATCGTCCACCAACTGGAATGCCAGGCCCAAATTCCTTCCGTAGGTATACGCAGCCTCCACAACCTCAGGCGCGGTCTGTCCCAAGAGCGCAGCCGCACGGCAGGATTTACTAATCAGACTAGCAGATTTGAGATATGTCTTCTGCAGGTAATAAGCGATGATGTCCTCTGTCCATGCCGGATTTCTCTCATCCTGCGCCGTGTTTTTCAGCTGCATGAATTCGCCTTCCACCAGATTGGCGATCACAGTGGCCAACAGTTCGGTAACCTCAGGATCTCTCAGTCTCGCCAAAGCCACAGAGGCACGGCCAAGCAAGAAATCACCGGCTAACACGGCCATCTTGTTTCCGAACTCGAGATTCGCGGACGCAACCGACCGACGCGTAACTGCATTGTCAATAACATCATCGTGCAAAAGGGACGCAGTATGAATCAGCTCTGTGATTTCCGCCAATCTCCGCTGAGAAGGCAAAATATTCACATCGCCCTCCGCAAAAGAATACGCCGTTTCATTTCCCGTCATCGGCGCCGTCAAGAGGTTATAATCCGGATTCGTGTCGGCAAGGATTGCTGGCGAACTGATCGAGGCATTGATTCCCTCCGTGTTCAAGATCTGTCTGTCCTGCAGGCTCCGCGGCGTCAACGCCGTCGCCTGCGACATCAACAGCACCAGCAACGGGCGTACTTGCTTTCCTTCGCTGCGAGCATAGTACTTGGCGACTCTGTCAAGGAGCGGGTGTCCGGAGCCAAGGAGCTGGCGTATGTTCTTCTTGAGGAATTTCAACTCCTTGGCGACCATACGCAGTGGGTCGACAGATATCTCTGGAATTCCAGCCGTCGCTGGCGGAGATTTGGTGGGGAGGGTTTTGGAGATGATGTTTTGTGCGGTGGATACGGCTGCGGAGAGGATTGACTGCTGATTTTTTCGACGAGACGGGTGGTAGCTGCGATATGTAAAGGAGAGCGTCGGAGGGACGTAGGCGAATCTTTTTCGAGTATGCAGTAGGCATTGGGAGCATATCGAGGAAGTTGGCCGGGAAGATGTGGAAACTGATACGAGGCCTCTCCAGGCTCGGAGGCCTGGTCGAGCTTTCATGACGGAGGAGGCGTCAGTGAATTGGACAGGAAGATGCGCATATAGTACAGATAACGAAACAAGGACTCTTTTCTCTAGAGAAGTATCCTGAAACCGGGTTGTGAGTAGGACCCGGGGAGTTGCTTGGAAGAGTGTTGGAAGTTGAGAAAGTAACTTTTTTTCTTTTTTGTCGGAAACGCAACCGGTCCAAGGACACCCTCAAAAGGCCGCGAGCTGGTTGGCTCCTGGTCAGGGCCCGCCGGCGACACAACCACAACACTGTGGACTCCATTGTGGTTCTTCCTCGCACCCGTATTACTTGATTATGATTGTTAACGGGGATTATGATAACTGGGCGACTACGAGGCCCAGTGGCCCACGAGCAGGCTCGGATAGCCCGGCCATCCCGGGCACAAACAGCAGCTAAAGAAAGCTACAATTCGATTATGACATCAGTGAGAGCTATCTGTCTAACTTGTGACTGAAAATATGGCTGCGAGAGAGGGGGAAAGATTACAACGAAAGCCTATGTGATGGACGACAAGAACCGACTTAATCAAAGTGACTGTACATACACCCAAGCCCTCTTGACTCTCCCGTAAAATGAAAAACCACCAGAATGTAAGACAGGCTGCCGATGGTTACGAATCCATACCGGTTTGTAGATGTAGTGCCAAAAAAGATAAGACACGGCGCAGAAAGGAAGGGCATGGAGGCAGGAGACACAAAACACACGACATGGGAAATGCGATCCGGAATAACGCCGAGTTGGAGTAGCGAGAGGAATAGGATAGAGTCCTCTTCACTCATACACACTTCAACTAGATGCCATCAAAATCCCCACCTGCGTCATCGTCATCCATGTCTCCCTCCGCGATCTCCTTGGCCAGCTCACGTTCCCGTTCACGGGCCTCCTGGGCATTCTTCAACTCCAGCCGATGCTGGTTCATTGGGAACCTCATGGCCTATAAACGGGTTAGATCAGACGACCAATTGACTAAAAGGCTGGCAGAATGGGGGTACATACCTTGACACTCTCATCGTGAAGATTTAAACAGGCCTGGATACGCTCATGGAACACTTCACCCGGCTCCTGGGTAGCATATACATCGCCAATCTCTTTACTCTTCATATAACCGTGTTCGTGGTCTATAGTGGCCTCGATGACGCCATCACGAATGGCTTTGGCTACGATGTACTCTGCAGACTCCTCGCTGTCGAGCCCTAAACGAAGACAGATGTCTCGAAGAGAGATCCGCGAGTAAGACAACGACATCATACGGATACCCGTCTTGATCACGTTCTGACGGAGCCGAAGGATTAAAGTGTATGTGCCATCTTTCCGGAAAGTAGCGCCGTGGTTCTGCACGACCTTGAGGAAAGCATCCAGATCACCCACGTGAACGGCCTGCACGAGTAGGAGATAAGGGTACATGGCACGTTCGAGAGCGGGCTGGCGGAAGATCGCACGATCAGGAATGTCGCCCATAAGCAGCTCCACAACAACAAGAAGTTTATTCGAAGCTTGGTAGAATCCAGCAGCACTGTGGGTTGAAGGCGATTTTCTAGTGGCGGTCGTCAAATGCTGGTGAGCTTCGGTGTACCGTAGCTGGATGGCTCGGATACGGCCAAGATAGTAAAGATAGCGCGCGATCTGATTGTTCGAGGCATCCTGGGGAAATTCAGAGTGAGAGATGAACAGATCCGCCTGGGAGATATGAGAGGTCGAGAGGTAATTTCGAAGAAGAAGGTTTGTAACGGTTGCTTGAATATCCTCGTCTTTCCGGAGAACTGCAGTCCGTAACGCTGAGAGAAGCGGCTGCCGAATCGAAATGACTGCAGCAGTTGGCGACGGAGGAAGCGGAGCAATCTGCTCGTAGAATAGGGAATAGTAGAAGTATACGCGAGCCGCCAAAGCGTCCAAAGTCCGGCGGTTTAATGTCCGAAGCTTTTCCACGAGGGCATTCGAAAACTCTGCGCCGTGTTGCACTTCTTCAGTGTCGTAGAGATATATTTGAACAAGAATCGAGAGATAGATGTCTATTTCCGGTATGATCTCCTTCGGGATGCCAGACTTAGGACTCTTTGACCCATTATCAACGTCCATCGAGGTATCGTTGGGTACAGCATCGAATGCAGCCTCTTTGCCCAGGGCTTTTAATAAAAATGATGCTCTTGAATCAGAACGTTGATATGTCTCCACAACCACTTGAGCGAGCAACTCGGCAGACAGCTGTTTCCGCATTGATGAGATCGTTCGAAGCACTCGCAAGGTAAATCGTGGGTCAAAGTGCATAACGGCTCGCTCTAGCAGGATAAAATTGTTCTTGATATCTAGTTATTTGACGTCAAAAGGTCAGTGATTAGCTGTTCTACAAGGGTTTAAAGATCCAAGTTACCTGTCAATGCCTTGGCCTTGAGATCAATGCCTTCCGAAGCCTGCATCTCGTCGCTCTCTGTTCCACCCATTGCAACGTCTGCGGAATGTTTGGAACTTTTTAAAGGGGGTACAACCACGGTCATCTCCTCGTCGCCGTCATGATCTTGCTTTGAGCCATTCGCGCCGTCTCCTCCCATCTCCACATCTTCAGACCCGTGAACACCGTTCTCAACAGGATCGGTGCCGTTCGCTTGCGATTTGTCGACGGGCATCGTTGTTCTGTTCTCCGAGCCTGCCTTCTGGGACGCCTTACTTCGGGTGGCCGTTGAACGGGCCGCAGCAGCGGGTTTATCTTTGCTGGAGCCGGAGTTTTGAGAGTTCGATCGAGCCTTCTCGCCGTTTGCAGAGGCGTCCGACCTGTTGGACCTCAGAGAGCGCTTTTCTGCGGGCATTTTTTGAGCTATGAAGGTAGCTCAGAGAGTTACGAGTCAGCGGCCAGAATCTGGAACCAGCTTTGATCAGGGTGTGTCGGAGAAGGTCAGCGAAGATGATGGAAGAACGGGCCACACAACAAATGTATATCTGAAGGAAATCTAGGTACAAAGCAGCCAAGTCCTGAGCACAGGGCAAAATCCACAGAGGTGATAGAAAAGCAGAGAATGTGGTTGACAGGAAGTTGGTAGTTTGAGCGAAGCAAGGTGTGTCCGATGGCGCGTTGTAGTCAGCAATGGCAAGGGAATTGAGTGGTGCCAACCAGCCTCGCTCAGCTCGCTGCCTCAAAGAACCGTCACACACGCGCTGCCGAACCTCGATGCGGCCGATTTCCTGCGCAGGACAGAGCAGTACCCCAACCTTGCAGAGGAAAGGTGATATTTGGTCGATGCTGGCGGTGTGACCATCCCCAGAGTAGATGATTCAAGTCAGCTGGATCTCCTAGTCCCGTTGGTGAAGGTTCTTGGCATCGTGAACGTCCTTTCGGCTCTGTAGTGCGTAGGGCGACTATATAATTACAGAAGGAAACTCTTCTCTCCCTTGCTGGCGATCGACAGATAGTATCAGAGACACACAGTCAAGATGTCGACTCTTCTACATAATCACCTTGAGCAGATTTCCCTTTCTGCCACTTCCATCGCCGAATTACCGTAAGAGTCGAGCTCCTTTATCTCACTAACCAGTCCATGTAGCTAATTCTTTGGTTAAACAGCTTCCCGCCTCCAAAGATGTTCGCCAGTGCACTCCTGGGGCCTCATGATATAACCACCCTTATCCGGGACACCGAGGCCCATGAACGTGCTCTTTTCTCTGCTGACCCCTCTACAAACAGCACGAAGCATCGACGGGCGACCCGGAGAGGCACGATGTTCCCCACAGAAGGAGAAAAGGAAACAATGGTTAGCCGAATCCATTCCGCCAAAAACCACCGGAATCAATCGGCTGTTGCACGGGTGCTGGGAGGTGATATGATGGAGGCAATCAGAAAATCTGCGAATGCGCCTTCGCACCGGACCAACCGGGGAGAGATGAACATCGAGATCCTGTTACGGGGCGCTGAGATGCTTTGCAAAGTTTAGTATGTCATTCACTGTCTTTTCTATAAGCGTTGGAAGCATCTTCAGGCTGATCGCTTTCCCATTTCAGTCCAGTTGCGGGAGCCAAAGAGAAAATAGCATCTCTCAGGCAACGCTATCAAGAAGTATCCGAATCGGTAGCCCGCCTAGAAGAGCGTGTTTCCTACCAAACAGAGCAATTGGAGCAAATGAATCTTTCGGGCTCATATCGCAGTGACTACTATGACACTCAACAACCGGAGCCAGTACAGCAGCATACGGCGGATATCACAGATGAGGATATCGAGCGTGAACTTGAGGAGATCCGGGAGCTGGAGCTTCGGAAGCGAACCCTTGAAAATCGGGTCAGTGGGATGGAGAGAGATCTAGGAGGTCTTCTGCGATAGGGGAAGCCCCCGTGGATGAAACTGTTCTCAACGGCATTGAATATATGTCAGTTGGTCGAACCCCTTCGTCTATCATTACCGGGGAAATGATAGCTATGCGCACTGGATTGTTTGACTGTCGGCCACCAGAATGCCTCCAGCTACCGTTGCGCCATTATGGAGGCAACATCGTCTCGGGCGAATATTATGCCTGTACAGAGAGAACGAACTGATGTGACCCGTCCTCGGGATCCTGGATGCGATCGAGCGCGACACAAGCCCGTCTAAGCAAGACGAATAGTTGACGTACAGTGTGTGCTTGGAACGATCAATTCCCGGCATGCGGAGCTTCGTCCCTTGTAAACCAGCAACTGAATACGCACATTCGGCTCAACTAGCTCCATTTCAGCAATTTTATGCCATTTATTACAACCCAGACGTTTTCAGTTAATCGGAACGCATGAAGCTGCCTTCGTCTGTCGGTTACGGATTTGCGGCGAGGTGAAACTTGAGTTTACATGAAAAGTATGGGATATTGTTTTCGAGTTCAATTCCCACGGCTTTGTTCACTACTCAGCTGTTGTCTTGCCTCTCAATTCTATGGATTAGCACAGCTGGCCTTTTTTTTTCCCTTTTTTTTTTTTTTTTTTTTTTTTCCCCTTCCCACTTTCGTTTCCGGTAGAGCACTGATAGGATGAAACAATTTCCCTAAAGACACGGTTCTTAAGTACCCAGCTCCGCGACGTAGGCAGTTTGCTGTACAACAGAGAAGCGGATACATGTTCCCAAGAGTAAGCAGACATCCATTGTGCATGCCCCAGGCAGCCATGGATGGCGCTCAGAGGGCCGTTATCAAGCCCATCGACGGACAGCGTACATAGATATGTAGTGATCGTACTGGTGGGAGGCGGGTATGCCAAGACCCAGCTCATGGAACGCAGAAGCTTCCTTCGCCCAGCGCCTTGGCAGGCGATGCATGGCATTGTGTTGCTCAGCACCCTGCATATCCTGAACCACCAAGCACCTTCGGGTTCATCAAAGCAGCCTGTGTTTCATCGATCTTTTCCTTGGACCTTTCCAGTTGGCTGTTGTTCATGGGATTCTGATCGCTGCACAAGGCTGTTACATAATAGCAGCGTGCGGCTTGACTGCTGCTTGACGAAATGGAGAATCAACCTGCGGCTGGTAACTCACCAGCCGCGCCGCTGATTCAACAAAACTCAGCCCTAATCCGAACCGATCAGGTTCAGAAACTCCCACATTTGGGCGACTCGCAGAAACAAACACACACTGCTCTGGTGCGGGGTCTCTGGGACATCCTCAACTCACATCCTCCAGGTTCCAACGAGTACAACGGCGCCCACACAAAATTAACCCAGGTCTCGCAGAATCTCATGAGAGGCATGAGAATGTTCCAAGCAAGTCGCCAACAGCAGCTGCAGCAGCTTGCTCAGCAACAGCAACAGCAAGCCCAACACATCCAGGCCCAGGCCCAGGCAGTTCAAGCTCAGACCCAGGCTCAAGCGCAGCAGCAGCAGCAGCAGCAGCAGCAGCAGCAGCAACAACAGCCGCAGACGACCCAGCAGCAGACCCAGCAGACCCAGCAGGGGCCTCAGCAGCAAGCCCAGCCGCAGTCGCAGCCGCAGCAAGCCCAGATGAGTCGCCCTCCCACCACCACCACCAACCCCCAAGCCGTTGCCAATCCCGCGAGCCAAGCACGACCCCAGATGGGTATCCCGCAGAGCTTCCAGCAGTTGCTCCCCCAGATTCGCGCCAAGGTCGACACCTTGACCTTTATCCTCCCTCCCACGATTACAAAGGATCAGTCCGATGGCTGGATGCAGGAGGCAAGGCTCCGATATGGTCTCGCGTTACAGAAACAAGAGCTGGGCAAGGTTAAGCTGAGTGATTTACGCCAGCAGTATAATCAGCGCCAGAGTGCCGGAAACCTGTCCCAAGAGGAGATCCAGGAGTTCAAGAACCGCCAGACAGCTGCTGAAAGACTCTTACGCGAGGGAAGCGACTTCCTGGGAAAGTTCAAAGAACAGCAGGAGAGTTTCCGCGTGCAGACCCAGCAGCTCGCAGCAAGCCGACAAGCAGGTCAAAATGCGCCTTTGCAAGGCCAAATAGGTGCTGACGGCCGTCCCCAGCAACCCGTTACTACGGCACCCGCTCCGCATACCATTAATTCTGCTGTCGTTGCCGCCCGTGCCGGTCAAGCCCCTTCCCAGATGCCTGGTCAGACTGCAACTGCCGTCACTGGTGCAACCCACGCGCCAATCCAGCCACCGGTAACCGCTGTTCAAGGCACAACATTAAGCGCGTTTGGTCAGCAAGCTTCCCAAGAAGGAACTGCCGCCGCTTCCCAGACCCCAACCACTCAAGGTCCCCCACGCCCGTTGTCTCAACAAGCTGCCATGGCGCAAGCTGCGCAAAATTATTCGAATGCGATGAATCAACCACCAGCTACCACGCAGCCAGCGACTACTCATGCGCACCCGCCAAACTATGTCAGCAGCCGTGGCGACTCGCGCAACGTTACCATGAATATTCAGAAGAATCTGAACGTCCCTGCCCCGGAACCGGTTAGCATGGCTCCCGCACGCCCGACTCTTACCAGTGGACCAAGCCATGGGGCTACCGGCGTCATGGGCCAGCCTGCCATCCAGAAGCATCCAGGTTATGTTTTGGAGGGAGAAGGCCAGCATGTTCTGAGCAAGAAGATGCTAGATGTCTTGGTGAAGCAAGTTACTGGCGGTGGAGATGGAGAGGGATTGACTCCAGATGCTGAAGAGGTATGTTATTTTTCTACCGCGTGCTCCTAGGGTGGACTCTTGTGCACTTGCTAATGTAACGCTTTCCAGTTCCTCCTCCAAATGGCCGATGATTTCGTCGACGACGTTATCACTGCAGCTTGCCGTCTCGCAAAGCTCCGCCCTTCCGCCACCCTTGACATTCGTGACATCCAGCTTGTTTTGGAACGTAACTACAATATGCGCATTCCCGGGTTCACCGCAGATGATCTTCGCACCGTCAAGAAGCCACACCCCACGCAGGGTTGGATTCAGAAGATGTCTGCTGTCCAGGCCGCCAAAGTCACTCAGGGTCGCGCTGATTAGGTGCTGAACCTGGGTCTATTCATGACTATTTCCTATTTCCTTCCACCTTAGTACCTTTTACCTTTGCCGTCTACGTGCGCCTTCGGGATGACCGTTCCTTTTTTTTTTTTTTTTTTTTTTTTTTTTCCTACAAGCAAAGGAGCAAGGCTGGGAGTTTGTACAAACCTGGTTTATGGCATTTTGGGGGCCTGATAATATGGGTGGCGCATTTGCTTGGGAATATCGAATCGCTGCAAGGCTTCCTCAGCTCGGCGTCAAAAACGGAGATTTCGGAATGGACACCCGGGTTTCGATACTGCTGTACTACGGACTGGTTGCACAGAATTTTCTGGTGTTCTAATTAGGGATCCAATATAAAAGATAGTAAAAGGACAAAAAAAATATTTCAGTCTACTTGCTCCTGACTGAGAATTCCGTAAACGTCCATTACTTTAGTTCAGCTAACTAGCCAAAGGGCCACAACCGGTTAAAAATTCATCTTTTGCTCTCATTAAATTTCAGCACCCGATCGTGTGACAGACTCGGCCAGCAGCTGCAATCACGAGCAACCACCTTTTTACATGAGAAGCTTTAGCTGGAGCACTCTCTGGATGAGCCAAATCTACCCAGATGATACACTTTCGGACTTTTGAGCATCGTAAACAGGGCCTGACGGGGAGGCTGAGAGGATCATCGCCGAAAAGTCATGTGGTGGGGGAACAGGGCCTCTCGTCGGCAGGCCGCAGCAGCCGGCGCGACGAAGAGAAAAGCTGCCGTGTTCCCAGCCACGGCGGGTCCAAAGTTAGGTAGATAAAGTCCCAGCAGGTAACTGAGGAGCATCTTTCTGTTCGCCCCGGGCTATTTCAACGGTAGACGCGACGATGAGCGAATCTGCAGAGACCAAAGTTCCGCGGGCAAACCCTGGGTCGGCCGGGCGTAGCGTTCCAGGTATGAGAGAGAAAAAAAGTGCCACTCGAAGCTTAGAAAATTACCCGCTGTTTATTTTACCTGTAACTAAACGGCTCGCTTGCCGTCATTCTTGTCTTTTCCTTTCTTTTCTTTTCTTTTTTTCTTTTCTTTTTTTTTTCGGGTTTCATTTTTCTGACTCGCAAGAATGATCGTATGAACAGGGGAGAAATCGCCCGTCCCGTCCGCACGTGTAGCGGAGGAGTTTCCCACCGAGCGCGAGGCTGCTCACAACACGAAAAGCAGTGAGAATAAACGCCCTTCACAATGCCATCTTTACTCCGGTGTTGCAGTGGTTGACGAGCCGGGTTTGTGATCTTAGGACGACGTACGCACCATGATCTTGGACCGAAATGGCACAAGGATTACTCCGAGATTGACCAGCACTGTGGGCGTGTCTTGCTCATCGACTTCGTGAAGCAGGGTAAGGTCTACACCTCCCAGAGCCGACAGTGCTGCCCGATCGCTGAGGGAAATTTCTTTCTATAGATGCCTCGAAAAGCAGTATACGCAGAGTGGCCGCGCAGGAGATATACGATATCCAAGACCTGCGTAAAGTCTACAAGAACCCAGAGAGAAACAACGAGGCCATCCTCCGAGTCTTCCATGTCCAGAATGCGGATTGGGCGGCAAGATATCTGCTGCGGAAATTCAATATCCACAACCGGGATGACCTGGTAGGCACCGACTTTGGCCGGTATGTCAAACATCGGCGGCCAGAGCGACGTGGTGGGAAGCCATTTATGAGCGGGAAGACGTGGAAAGTTCAGTATGATCCGTGGCGGGGAATCAGTAAAACCTCCTTCTCGGCAGATTATCTGAAGCCGTATGCTGTCCCGGATCCGATGAACCGCTGCGATGACGATGGGTTTAAAATGATGGAGTTGAATCGTTTTGACGATCAAGGTGGGTTGAATCGAGATCCTCTTGCTCTTAGCCGAGTTACTCCGTTGGCGAGCAGTTTGGGCTGAGCCGTTTCCCCCCTCCTCTTGCAATTCGTGCGCCGTCCTACGCACGATTTGCAACTATCACGGGGCTTCGAGTTAACAGACAATCCAACTCATGGCTACGATGTCTACGTTCAGCGGATTAGCTGTTATATCCAGCATAAACAGGTCACCGCCGAACCACCACCCTCCGACATGGACATAACGAATCCCTATCTATCCGACGCGCAGATCGATGGTGCCTTTGGCGATACTCCGAAGGAATATATTCCGCGATTGAACACCCTCGATAATGGAAACACCGTTATCATATTTGACAATTCTCACTCAGGCACACTCGACAACACTCTAATTCCTCCTCGTCAGACATGGGAGGCTCGATGGCGCCGGCTGCCATTCTTCTTGGCTTTTGAATCTCGTGATTTGGTTGCTACTGATGATGAACTGGCTTATCACTGTACGCGAATTATCCTTGAAGACATATTCAAAGTGATATCAGGCACATGGGATACGCTATTGGACCTCGCGTACGACCATGTGAGTATCTTGGAGGATAAAATATACGAGCAGCCCGCAGACGAGACTCGAGCGCCTGAGCTATGGGCCAATTCAAATCTATGGTTGAAAATGGAGAAGTTGATGTTTCTACATATCGATATTATCAAGGAGCTGAAGACGCGGCTGCGGGATCTCACCGGTAAGATATAAATTCTTCTCCCGCCCAAAATTATCAATAGCCCCTAACACTCCATAGACGACATGGAGAGAGATGATACCTGGCTAGATGGTACACCGGGGGATTTTGATCGGCTGAGCAACCTTATCACTGAGGATTTGATCAAACCTACTAAGAACTTGATATCCCTGCTCTATCAATCTGTCTCTATTCGAGACAGTAGACAGAACATTCGACTTAGCGTTAGCAGTATGTGTCATACAGTGTCCAACAGTAATATTCATTTAACTGACGCAATCAGTGTGGCGTTTGAGTTGGATTACATTCATATTTTTGCCCTTGACTTTTATCACTGGTATCTTCGGTATGTCGTAGCTGCTCCCTCACCCCTTTTTTTTCTTTTTTCTTTTTTTTTTTTTTTGGATAGGGATGTCCGTGATTAACTTCGAACATAACAGGCATGAATGTCGACACCTTCAGCGATGATCCCAGTATCAAATGGTACTTCATAGCATGCGTGCCGTTTATGCTTGGTGTTCTCATCGTATGGTATTTTTGGAAACACACACTCACCTCCCAGCGGAACACCCCATACCGCCGCGGAATATACGAAAACTTTTTCAACGAGTTGGCAAATGCCAGTCCGGACCTATGGTCCCAAACTGGGCCGCGCAATTACATTGTGCCCAAGGGACGTCTCGCGAAGATCAAATGGTTCTTCATAAAGCGTTGGAGTGCCCCCGAAAAGACCATCAAAGCCGGAAGTTCTTCCTCCCCGCAAGACGAGCTTGGGGTCATGGCAAGGCTGAAAAGACGCCTTATCTGGCGCTGGACCTCACAAATTGCTCGAGCTGAGAGTGCTGATCAAGAGGCCCTGAGGCTCGAAAGCGGCGAGGCAGGCGCGGATGATCCCGCTAGTGATACATACTCGATTGTCGCCGATGGACTGGCAAATGCCACCGAACTAGCAGTTGTGCCCGCCGCTCCAGCAATTGAAACTGTCTTTGAAGAAGATCGTAAACAGCTGGCAGTACCAACCACGGATGAACGTCCCAGTGGAGAACGTCGACGGCTGGGCCCGTTATCGTTCCGAAGCCATAGCCGAGGATCTAGCACTGGTAAAAATAGTAGAATTTTGATAGAAGAGGAAGATTGGCAATGGTTGAGTCAGTTGGGAAGTGAAGGAAAGGAGTGGGCGCTGCGGTCAGCAAGTTCGAGGGAGAGAAGTGCGCAAAGAAGAGCCACGGAAGAGGAGGGCAGGAAGTCAAAAGATACCGAAGATCACACGAGCGCTACAAAATCTGATAACCCAGAAGCAGAAAACCGGCTAGACAGGCGACAAAGGTCAAGAAATCGCCTCGACATACCTCGAGTGGTCCATCCAGATGAAGACGAACCCCAGTGATATGAAGACTTCGTTGTTGCCCCTGGGCCATTCTACGAACCCGGTATTCAGGCGCTTCAACGGTACAGTTGAATCCATGTCCAATCTCGAGTCGGAGCCCATCTCCTTTCTTTGCAGTCCTCAATTTTGATTTCCAACAAAGGCATGTTTGTGCCCAAGAGCAATGACTCTTTCTCCCACCACATTTTATCTTTCACACTTTGAATTTATGTGCCATGTAATTCCCCACGCTTCCTCTGAAAGCATCTACGACATTATATGCATGCTAAATGAACCATTTATATTTTGCGTTTGACATTGAGCAATTCTACAGTCTTTCACTTCCCTGGATCAGTTTGGACAATGGATCGTATGTTCTAAGGACCCCCATTCGTGGCGTTTGTGAGATTCCTTTGTTCTTCTTATATACTCCATTGCACATCAGGTTAACCCACAGGGTCTCATTTACTGTTTACGACTTTCTTATGGAAATCATCTTTCTAATTCTTGGTTACTGTACAAATGCTTTTGAGAGGCGCTTTCTTTTCCCTCTCTTTCACTTCATGCTCCCTTGACTCTGATCGACTCGCAATGGCTTTTAATAAAAGTTTTCTGTTTTCGTTCGCGACTCAAGCTTTGTTAAAGATACAATGGCACAGACTCAGAATAGAACGCCTTGATCCTAGTTTGGGGCTTTGGATCACGGTGTTGAGTGTATCTATTGTCTATCACTAACTTTCTTTCTCAACAAACCCTTTCCAACATCAAAGATTCGCTTTCGAATTCAGATTCGATTGATTTACTCCGCAGTTTCTCCTCGATATGTGCTCCATATCTCGCTACTCAAGGATATAAATAAACCCTTCTTGATCTTTCACTTTGCAGTTTGTCTATCATTCCAACGTCGAGGCAGGCTACGCCTGCCTCATATTTGGCCATGTCCAACGCGAACGTCGAGAGATATTCGGGCTCTTGGGCTTTGGCGATGCTAGTGTTCTGGGGTTGTCGGTGGGCCCGTTCCTCTCTGACAGCCCTCCCGATATTTTTGGCCATATTCACTGCGAACCTCGAGAGATATTCAGGCTCTTGGGGTTTGGCGATGATAGCGCTTTGGGGGTTCCGGTGGAGCCCCATTTTCTGGCAGACCTCCCGCCATCCTTTCAAGCACATCCGACTACTCCGACGGCATCTCGAATGGATCTCCGTTTCATCGGGTCGTTTCATCGCGCCTGTTGTCCTTATTTAAAGGCAGTAAAGCTTCTGCCTTGATTATTGTGGCGCTTCGCGCCTGCTACGGATTACAACGCATCTTTCTCCGCTTGAGGTGCGCCGCTGGTTCAATTAGCATTGTTTTTCCGGCGTTGCTCGTTCTATCGCGGATAACAGAGCCGATTTTTACGTGTTATGGGTTTGCAGTATTGTGTTGGTGTTGTGGCGTCTTGGGCCAGATCACCAATCTTCTTCAACTACCCGCCCGCGGACGCGATAGCTCTGGAGGTACCCTGCGGTTTTTGCGATAATGACGACCGAGCAAAGCGGCTGCTGTGTCTGCTCGGGTTCGCCAGATCTGTTGCGCCTGCGAACCCGAGATCTACAAGCTAGCTGTGACTGTCATCGTCAGAATACTTTGAAATGTAAGTCAGTGCCTTCCTTTGCTTCAACCTTCATACGTTTCTGCTCGTCAGTAACTAATTCCTCCTTACGTTAATAGTCTGCAACAGCCCAGCTAGTCAGTGTTCTGGGGCGGTTACTCACTGCCTGCCATAAGCGAATTCTCTAGGCGACTGTCCTAGACGCTCGCCTTTCTCGCTTCACATTATTCGCATTCTGTCCGGTTTCTCGGGTGAGCGTATATTGCAGCCCATTGCCTTGGTACCTTTGGTGTGTGTTCGACAGCTATACCTTCCCACGCCTATCTGACGCGGTGCCTAAGCAAAGCTAGTTGACCCTGGCGATTTGAAGTATTCCCTATGCATAGGGCCTCGAATGTGGCATGGGTCATCACTTCCGGTCCTTTGTTATCGAGTCAGGCGGAGACGTTCGGAAACCGGGAGTATTCAATGGGCAAAACTGCCAGCCGGCGGCCGCATCGTGATTTTACGGGGTCAAAGGAAAACATTCTCTTATCCTTTCCTGGATAAAACCACTATTGATATAGTATTAGCAAGAATAATGATAGTTATATTCCCACCCGGTGCCATATAGCTACGCACACTAGTGGTATGGAGGGAAATTTAAAGAAAGTCATTCTTATTCTCTCGAAGCTTAGGTTTCAACCGAGCAACGTTGCCTCTATCTTGGGCTATTTTCTTACGTTACCACTGTCGTGAGATTCTCAATCTCCCTTTTCTTTTTTTAAATGCGTTGATATCCACATTAGTTGAGAAAAGAGTGATGATGCGTACTACAACCGCAACGTTTCTCTTTCTGGTCTCGGAATTTTCTGCTTCTTCTTCCTTGGCCAGGCCTAATTATTACAGACATCGCTCTCATCGCTAAAGTACGTATATCCCTCAAACTCCCTCAAGATACGCTGATATCGGTTCATAAACCCTTGGGCTGACCTAAGAAGGATTAACAGTTGAATCTTAGTTCTAACAGGATGGGATACCCGACCGAATAGACGGAGAGAATCCAGCCAGGATGATATCTCATACCAGGCTATATCCTATTGTTTGAGCCCAAAAACATTAAAGTGCACATTGGCTCTTCATACAGACGGCGTTTCGAAAGCAGCTCGTCGTATAACTCCTTGGAATCAGGCAAGATTACTCAAATCAAGATTGGGATTGCCGTGATGGTCCATCTCCGCAACCTGGCTGGCTTTAAGGCTATGTGGAAATGTTTTTACGGCAATATGTCTGGTCATTCCTCGGGTATTTATATTGGTGGTATTATAATCTTCCCTTTATCGCTTGAAAAGCATTCGATGCATGTCAGCGAAGGTCTCGGGACTCTGAAGGACTCAGCACTAGGGAAGCTAGATCCAGCGCATCCATCAGCAGGCTTACTTGGGCATCCCATGAACCACGTCTAGGTCTCTCTATGCCGCTGGTTAATTTCTCTGAATCTCACTTTTTCTGAGCAGAAATAGATGCAAGAGTAAACTATAACATACCTTTTCTTTTGCAGGATCTACTTCCTCTCGATTTTGACTGCAAAGCCACCAGCTCCGGCATAATGCACATGGATATACTTCACATCCAGATCTGCAAACATTTCCCCTGCTTTCGCCTCCAGGTCGACACCATCAACAACCCCATTATTGATCATCATATGCTCCGCATTATAGGCGCGGACTGAGAGCTTTCGACGGCGCTGCTGGTCCGGAACAACGTCCTTCTCGTCTTCCAGTTTAAACATGCAGTCCCGCTGGTGCACGAAGATTGGACCTGGCCCGGTATAGGGGCTTTCCCCGAGGAATGGATTGTAGGAGACCAGATAAATTTCGCCCCCAGGACTAGAATCCTTGAGGCAGCGCCGGCATGGATATGAGGATTGGTCCTTAGCGGTTTCGACGATTGTCCCAGGCTTTGAGACGTCGAGGGTTGCTGGAAGGGGGATGAATTTTAGGGGTGTGGGCGTGGTCTCGATCTGTTGAGTGTTAAAAAGAGAGACATGTTTAGTTTGTTGGTAGTTAAAGGAAAGATAAATTAGTTATATTTTCCACGCCTTTATGAAGATAATTTCGATCTAAGGCTTTTTGTTCAAAAACTATGTAACCGCGTATCCTGTAACAGGACAGAAAGGGCATCCATAAAAGCGATCGAGCCTTTTATATACTGTTCCATCATCGTCGTCCCCATCCTCTAACTATCGGCTCTGTGTTCGCATTTCCAATTTTCCATATCGAAGCCATCCTATGTCCCAAATACGAGCCTACTATGCCCTTCCCGGCTTAGCACTTCTAGTTAACGACGAGGGATCCCGATAACTAAATATGCTTAACCAGACCTTGTTCCCGATATGACCAAAAAAAAGTCTTCATTTCTGATGAATCCTCCACTCTGTCCGAGGAAATGTAACAGGGTCACTCTATAATTCCGGCACAGCTACCACACGGGTGCTGAGACATTTTTCTCATTGTATATATTGAGATCAGGCTCGGAGATCGAAGTGTCTTGAATGAAACCAGAGCCACAGTAGCCTGATCACGGCTAAAAGGAGTTGGTTGCAATTCAGGGAGGGGCGAATTTGGTCCGGATAACTAACTCGTGGAGACCCATCGTCGGAAGTAAATCGCGAACCCCACCGATTTTCAGGGCGGAGCGGGGCGGGGCGGAACCTATCCACAGCCCCATAAATACCCTCAGTAAGATGTTTTTCGACAATGTGAAAAATCTCCATATGTATACTACAAACGAAGCTAGAGTACAAAACATATATATATGTATATGATAACAAAAGAACATTTACAACGAAGCACTGGAAAACAAAAAAGCGGCTATCAAGAAAGGGGTCGTTGCTATCATCACAGGATTTCTTCCCTCCTGGCTCACAGAGGGGGTAAAGCTGCAAAATTGCTTTTACGCGTCTTAAAAGTTCTCCTTTCCCCACACGAAATTAAATCCAGGCTCTGAATACATATTGCACTTGACGTGCAGCACACTTCCTAATGGCTTTGGTCCGCAGAAAAACACGCCGGCTTCTGCTGGTGCGTGCAGCTTTCGAATCGACCGGAATACCATGTCCCAATTTGGTCGACCAAAGTTAGTCGGGGCACGCAGGCCGGTGATTGTATCTTGTTCTGCGTTGGCGTCGTTAATCATGATGTTAGTTGCATCATCAGGTCGGATTTTGGCTGTAAGATACTATATTTGATGATTTGTTAGAACAACTGATGTAGTTTTGAAGGGAAGAAAAAAGGGTAGGAAACATATAGATTAGCACTTACAGTGTGAATTTCAATATGGTTTGCTGTATCCTGCGCCTCTATGGCAAGAAGCAGCGATTGGAACCACTCAAATGAGCCGAAATCTCTACAAATCCAGAAGAAATACACTTTTCGCAGCCGCGTTTTTGTTTGGGGGTAGTTCATGCGATACCAGATACTCTTCAGGATGGACGCAAAGGGAGTTACTCCGATACCGGCTCCCACTAGGACCGCGACTTCGTACTTAAAAACGTCTTCTGATGCACTGCCAAATGGGCCGTCAACGTAGATCCTAGGGAGAACTCGACGAATGCTGGGATCTACGTCATCCGGGGCCATCTGGTTGTTGACACCGACTACGCCGGTCTTTCCTTTACCGCCTTTACCCTTGCCTTCATCAAAGGTGCATCCTAGCGTTTTGGCAAGGGCCTTGGTGAAATCTCCGACGCATCTAATGTGCACAGAGATATAGTCTTCCTCGGGAGCACTGGTAAGCGTAAACGGATGGTATTGCCATACAGATACCGTGGGGCAGCAGAGGAAAATGTACTATCAAACTCGTCAGCTTTAAAAGGAGACTAGGGATGCCAAAAGAGATTTCGCGTTGAAACGTACTTGACCCGCTCTCGTTTTCGTTTTCTCCTTCTTCATTTGAATCTCAACCACGTTACTGGGATGTTGCACCACCTTTGTGATATATGTCTTGTGCCGTCCACGTATCTCACGTAACAGCCTCTCCACCAGGTAGATCACTGCTCCATATATCCAATACATCCAAAACACACCGATGCCGGCGCAAAACGGCGGGTAGTCAGGCTTAATCATGCAGAACGCTCCATGGAAAGCCCAGAAAAAGAAGAAAATAACAAAGAGGTGATGCGTGTACCAGAATCGTTCGAAATTGGCCCGGCGACGTTTACCGATGGATGTGAGCGCCATCGCCATTAGTGCGATTAACATTATATACCCGGTCCAGCCGGGTCCAGTGACAACGTTGGCCAGGAGGAAGCCTGCGACTCCGAGGCCCTGCTTAGCGGCGAGTTGGGCATAGTTGACCCAGTGAGCAACCGTGTGAATCCAGGAGAATGTAACGATGGACCAAGCCACCACTGTCACTGTGTTAGTGCGATCTGCATCAGGTTGGAGGAGAAGACGAACGAACGCTTATGGAAAGTGATGTTTTTATCTAGGATCATCAGGTTAGCACAGCAGGCCTAATCTATGACAAGGCGGACGTACCAAATTGGATAATCCCATTCAAAGGCGTCTGTCTCATCAGAGAGATAAGGGTTCGGCACACAGCTAATGCACTCTCAGTAAGTGATCTTCTGCGCATCAAGGTTACATGGCACGTACGGAATAGGATCAAGCCGACATCAAAATGCAGCACCAAAGCTGCAGCTCTTGCAATAGTGAATGTGACTCCAAAAGTTGCTCTTGACCCAGTAAGATTGTCCTAAATCATCCCTTGTGAGCATATGTCAGTACTAAATGGGATGGCTAGATACCATGCCGTACCTTAAGCCCGTAATGCATCAAACCAAATCCAAAGATCATCAGATGTGCCAAAACAAACACAGCAACGGTGCTAGCTCTCTATCAGCATGCAGCGGAGGACAAGATCAGATAGTTGGCTAAACCTACAGTCTCCTCCAGCCTTCATTGACCATCCTATACAACTTGGACGTTAGCGACGGCGGCGTCAGAATTAGTTACGATATATTAACGCACCATCGATCAAACTTCTCTTTCATCGTCAAGTCCCTTGGGGGCTCTCCGCTCATTTCGCCAGACATTAACATCCTCGTCAAGGGAGGCCATCTTGCCCGCTCGGGCCCTGGCGCATACGTGTCCGAGTACGGGTTTTTAAAACTCATCTTGACGAAATGCACAAAACGAAAGCGAATAAATGTGGAAAAGGAAGCGCAAGGCGAATGGGTATGGTATATTGTAATGCCCACGTTAGGGAAATAAAAAAAAGACAAACAAAACTATTGTTGTAGATCAAGAACCGGGGGTATCATGCATGTCCAAAAGGAAAAAGAAAGAAGGTTATTCAACAGGAAGCACTCCCCTCCTTAGAGAAATGATGAGAGCAGTGAATAGGGAAAGGTATGATGCCTCTCGTCGACAGGGCCAGCCAATCACTGAGAATAGACAAGCAGTCCTTGCATTTCAATCCGACTTGCAGGTAATTATGTACGTTGCCGATATATTCGTCTGCATGTATTGAGTACCCGATATTAAAAAAAAGACGAAAATGAAAGAAAAAGAAAAGGGAAGAGAAAGGGGTCCGTGGAAACAACCCAGAAGGAGAAACACGGCAAGTAGACAGAAAGGAAATGCCCGAAAAAAAAAAAAGTGAAAAGAGAGATAATCACCAAAAGAAAAGGACTAAAGCCTATGACGGTGAAGAGCAAGTGAGAGACATATTATCCCGTCCAGATGGGCACGGTGTCGAAGATGCGGGCGAGGCGGTTCAGATCTGGGACAGGGAGTGTCTCAGCGGTGGGCTCGAGCAGGCTTTTGTGACAGACAGCTCTTTAGTTAGAAAGCCAGTGTTCCGCAATGAGATCGTGACTAACGCGGAGTACGCAGAAGTTAACTAGCTAACAACAGAGTAACTGACAGTTTATTTCGAGATGGACATTATCAGCAAGAAAGGGAAGAAAAAAAAAAAAAAAATGTGCGGCGGGTATTTGGCCTATTCTGCATGCGCTGTGCGAGGGTGTGATGGGATTTGATATAACACCCGGGGGCTGCTGGGCCAATGAAGGCTCGTCGTTGCCAACCGGGCCAGCCAGGTTCAACACGGACACGGCCGCTCGCACCGTCGAACGTGCAGCATCGGGTGTAACAGCGCAGTCCACTTTGCTGCGGCGGCGTTGATTCATCTTGTGTCGCAGCGCTTACCCACCGCCGGCGCACGGTGATTGGCTGGGGGCGCTCAGGGGGACAGCAACAGCCAGCCAGCCGAATGGGGCCGCGATGATTTGATGATTGATAATTTGATCATAATGCTGGGCGAGCAAGTATCGGCGAGTTGGTAGGCAGGGTGGCCTGACAGGCCGGAGAAAGCGGATGGGCCCCAAGTGCAAGTCGACGGACTTCGCACTGTCAGTTAATCAACGGTTTCCAATTTGTGATCTACCTAAATATCTCCTGTACGGAGTTCCTTGACCCAGATTCCCTGCTCGATGGTTAATTACCACCGTTTTCTGGGGCACATTTGTCTGGAGTAAACTTGACAGTGTATATCTGAAAACATTGGTGTCCAAAATGTGTAAATGTAGATAGTAACTCTCCAACAATCATCAAAACTACCCACTCCAACCAAGAGCCTCCAATTCCTTGCGCACAGATTCCTCTGTCTTGATCTTCTTCATCTGCGTGTCCTCCAGCTTCTCTCCACCGGCCAGACGCATCTTAAGCTCATCAATCGCCCGCATCTTCTTCAACAGGCCGCGGATCTTTTTCTCCTGAGGAGTCGATGCGTTTCCGGTAGTAGGAGACGTCACCGTAACATCAGGAACGGGAGCAGCTAACGCTCCATTCGGTGGCTGGCCGGCTTTCGCTTTACCGTTAGGTCTACCCTGAGCTGCGTTGTTATTGCCTTTACCGTGGGCATCACTACGCTGACGACGATGGCTGCTGCGGCTACGATCACGATTCTGTCGACCATGCGCGTTGGGATCTAGATTGCCCCGCGATCGGCTACGAGAGTGGGCTCGCTTTTCACGGCGATCTGCGTTAACTCCGGCAGGAGATTGTTCACCAGAACCACCATTCTCGACCGAAAGGTTCTGGGCCTTTTCGGCGTTCTCTTTGGCTTTCTTCGCTTCGCGCTTCTTCTTGTTCTTGGCGGCAGATTTTGACAACTTTTCGTCAGCCTGCGCACCAGGTGGCAGAGCTACACCGCCTCCTGGAGCGGCTCCAGGAGGAAGGAACTCGTCCATCGGCTCAGCGCCTGGGACAACACGACGTCTAGGCTTGCCGAAAGCATTCGCGCTGGGCCCGAAAGCATTTGGGCGCTCGTCCCGAATAAATGCTGCTCCACCCTCATCCTCCCGGCGAAAGGTCATTGGAGCACTCTGGCCTCGAGCACCCGGAGGTCGATAGGCGCCCACAGGCTTGGAGGGCGTCTTCTTATTTGCAAGGTAGGCTAACGCAGACGGATGAGGATTCGGCATCGGGTGCAGTGGGTTCTCCAGGGGATGGCTAACGGAGGACTGGGGACGCCAGTGAACATCATAAAGCTCATTCATATCCTCGTTGTACATCAATCCACCTCCCACGTGCCAGATTCGAACCCCATTGTCGACACGGAGTCTAGGACTTGTAGTTGCAGTTAAGATGTGTTTACCGTCGGGACTCCATTCGCACACGCTTGCATTAGAGGCTTCGACGGTAGCAACTTTGGTGTAGTTCTTCTCCAGATCGTAGATATCCATCTGGCCGGCAAGATTGCCAAATCCTGCGACAATCACAAACCGGCCATGAGGAGAGAAAACTATCGTGTTTCGGGGCGCGAGGGGGAAAGAGTGGGTGGCAGCTCCTCGAGAGTTAAAGACAGTAGTCTTCGCTGGCATGTAGCCATAGACGACACCGAATTCTTTGGAATTAGGAGACCAGGTGACATCGTGGATAGGGCCCTCCTTGTCTATAATCTGGACGTCAGTAAGGACGGTAAAACGGGATCGGAGATGCGCGGCAAAAACCTACCAAGATCGATTCTCGAGTCAAATCCATTCGTGCTTAGGAGGTAGAGAGTAGTCTCTCCATAATAACTCTTCCCGGTCTTATCGACTTCTGTCTGTGCCAACACAATCAAGGTGGTTCCAGACTTGTTCCACTTCATCTGAACCTTGTCGCCCTTGAAGAAATTCTTTTGCGAAAGCGGTAAGTTGAACTGCGGCACGTTGAAAACCTTGACCGAAGCTGGTTGGCCCTATAGACAAAGTTTAGCATAAGATTGCAGATTCCAAGGATTACAGGGTCCCGACAAGAAAAGACTGACCTTGCGCTCTGGGATGAAGACTGCGACTGTGTGGTTCTGGCCCGGCGAGATAGCAAAGTCAACAACTCCCTCAACCCGCAATTTGTTCCACACTGTCGTCAGGTTTCCGCTCTGGTAGAACTGGACCTCATTGGTGACAACGCGGGCGCAGTACTTCTCATCGGCAGTATACTGTAGATTCCACCCGGTCTGCGACTTTTGAACAAAGCTTCCGGTCGGCACACGAGGGGGTTCATCTCCGTTATCACTAGGCGGGCCTTCCACCACTCTCCAAACCTTCAGATTCCTCACTGCATCGCCGTTCTCGTCCTTTGACGGGCGCTGCCAGGTGATCACGAACGTTCCCAATGGGGAGAACCCGAGTTCATAGACGTTCTCGGCCGGAAGCGTAGCAATGAGATGGCCAACGGATGGGTCGATTATGGAAACCCTAAGGGAGTATTAGACTATGGTGTTGGGCATGGGACACGATATCATACCGTTCGGGGGAAGCCCATGCAAAATACCGGCCACACGGGGAGTAAGTGCAGCAGCGTAGATTCCCTTCTGGTCTTAAACGGGTAAGGTTCGTTAGCAAAGGTCAAGGCTACTGAAAAGCAGGCGCAAATGATGCACACCTCGTAAAGCCCGGCAATGGTTCATAGACGGGGGCCGCATCCAAGATGCCAATTCCCTTAAGGGTTCGATCTGGTTTGAGTCTCAGCATGGAATGTTCCAAAGTGGTAAGGGAGGCGGTTGAGACGTACAAGCAAGCTGAGTTGGGGCTGCCATAGCTACTCAAAGCCACAGAAAGATCCAACACGCACACAAAAAGGCCAAAGGACCGACAGTTATCGAAATGGGAATGTCGCGGACCGTACCCTCTTCCAGCTGGAGCTGTTTTGGTTTGAAAATTTCAGGCTCTTTTTTCTTTTCTTTTCTTTTCTTTTTTTTTTTTTTTTTAAAGAAAAAAAAAAAAAAGGGCGACAAGGTCGTTTGCTGTCTGAGACAGATTGAACGGATCTCAAGGATCTGCAAAGCCAGATATTTGCGATAAGAGGCTTATGAATAAACAGCGAAGCGAGTACCTGCTTTCAAAGGCAAGGATTGAGAGGAGAAGAATACTCGGATCTTGGGAGGGATTTTGGCGAGCCGGTTCCGTTGTTCGAAGGAAGCTCCTTTGTTTTCTCTTGAGCTGGACAAGTCAATGCCAAGCGACAAAGAGAAACAGCAGAAGGCCAAGTCTGCTCGCGCGGGGGGACGATGGAGAGGTCGAGGCCCAGGCGTTGCAGGAACAAAGCGGAAGAGGGTGGGCGGGAGACGGGCGGAGGGAGAAGGGTGAGGCAGTGGGAAGAAGGACGTCGAGGTTGGAGAGGAGAGCGAGAGAGAGCGAGAGAAGATGGCGAGATGCGAAGAAGCGGATTTTTGTGGCCTGGCAAGCTGGGCTGCCGCCACAGATGGTTACGTAACTACGGGCTGGCACTACGCTAGGACGCTTTGGGGAGTAACTATGGCTGGGTAGGTTGGGGGGCTGTAGGGCTGAGTTGTGGCTTGAGAGTCTTTTAGCGGAGAGAAAATGAGCGAGAGAGTGCAGAGACAGAGGGGGGAAGAGGATGGACTTAAGAAGGATTAAGGAAAAAAGCTGTCGTACCATACTCTATGCCATGCTATCCATCACCGCCCGCAACGAAACGGGCTGCACATCGACGGCATTCGGTCCTGCAGGACTCCGTATGCATGTAGTTGATTTACGGGATGTGGAGTGCCCATTCACGCTCTGTTGTGGCCAGTGCTCCAAACTGGGAAGGCACGCGACTTACCAAGCGAGGGACCTGCCCCTTGCTGCTGCTTGCTGTATGCGGAGTATTCTTCATGTGAATTGCACCTTCCAACCCCGGGGTTGAGTGCCTGCGACGGCTTGCTGCCAAGACATTATTACATAAGCTCAGGTGTGAGGTCTTGGCGATAATGATGACGTCAGCCAGCCGATCGCCGGAGTAACTTTCTCGATCGATCCGCCGGCGACTGTTCCATTCAAAACTACCACCACCACGCCGCACGCCCGCACGCCGCCGACGACCACCACGACCACGACGATAGCCACCATCACCGTTCTCCTCCCTCTCCGGCTGCCTGGCCGCCTTTCCCCTCGTCTCAGCCCTGCATCGCATCGAGCCCGTATCCCGTGGAAGACCTGTGGCCACATCAGCGCCCCTCCCGCTCTCCCTGTGTACCTCTCACCAAAGCGCCCCGAATTGTAGCCCCAATTGCTTGAGCTACATCCAAAAAGCCCCCCCCCCCCCCCACCTTGTCCCTCCAAAATTTCTTCAAATTGATATCCCCATTGTGGTCTAGCCGCCCTTTTGCCCTATAATTAGCCCTCTGCAGCCAGTTCCAATCTCTCTGCAGCTCTTTTCACCGGGTAAAGTCTCACCAACGCATTGTCGCACAGAGGACGTCGGCCAACCACCCGTCTGCCCTGCTTGGCCGCATACCCCGATCACTACTTTTGTTCCTTGCGCAGCACCCTTCCGCTCACTCCATACGAAGCTCATCTCCTTCCTTGAGCCTGACCTCTGCTTAAGAACCCAGCTGCTCTTGACGGTTCTACCTCGCGTAGATCGTCGTCTGGTGCAACATCCAGCGAGCTGCCCACGCCCAATTCCCTTCTCCCCGCCTCTCCGCTTGGAATTTCATCCATTTCACCTACAAATCAGAATGTCTCGTCCAACGCTCATCAACCTCCCGCCTCCACCCTCGGAGCCTCCTACGCCGTCCGAGATGGGCCCGTAAGTTATATGCGTTTTGTACCTGGTCTGGATTTTGGCCCAATGCCACAGCCCAATTCCTCAAAGCTAGCTCAGAACCACAGTCACTAATTCCGCGATTGCTGTCGTTTATCACAGGGGTACTCCAAACTCAGGCACTACCTCCCTCTCCGGTCTCTCAACCACCGCAATCAAAGATGGTCATCAAGGAAAACTCCGTCCCCATAGCCATCGGCCCCGTCGCCGCTCTTCAGATGCCTCGCAAACCTCCACAGACACCCTGGCCGCAGAACGCGCTGATCGCATCTCACGCTTAGCTGGCCTTGAAAGAGTAGCGGCGTCACGAAGCCCCGGAGAAGATCCTCCAAGTGGAGCTCCACCCGGTTACTTCGACCACACATACGCACACTTGCTCCTAAAAGAACGTAGCACCGTTGGCAGCGCTAGCGCCACTGGAAGCGTTGGAGGCCGCACAACCTGGGCCAGCGGAAGTGACATCTTTGATCAAGACAAGCTAAACGACGACGACGGCGTCTCCAGCACGGGAGGCCTCAGCGACGAGAACGCCAGCCTCGTCGGGTTTGGCGAAGGCGCAAACAGCACCATTAGCGGCCCGGTATCCACAGGTATCAACAGAGTGTCTGTTGTAAGCCGCCAATCATCCGGAGTCGGAGGCAACCGAGCTTCCTCTGGCCAGGCTGCCGCCGCCTATTCACCCCAACCCGCCGGGATCCCACTCTCGTCGCCCTCCCCTGCGGGGTCGAACACGCCGCAGGGCCTCGACTACGATGCCATAGACGACGCACGCATGGTCGACGGGATAACTTTCGACGAAGACATCGTTGACACGACAGTCCGGCCACCTCTCCCCGTTAGTAGCGGCAAACCCGATCGCGGGTGAACCGAGTAATGCAGTCCACTCCTTCCTCGTTCCCAACGCCCAAGAATGTGGGGTGCTTTTTTCTAAACTTCGGCCTTTCCATAGAGACTTCTCTACCTTCTTCTGTCTCTCTCTCTTTTTTTTTTTTTCTTTTTGGTTTCCCCGTACGAGGATTATGTATTTCGATATTTGAAGTCCCTTTTTTCAAGACCACTTCTACTTTCATCTTTCTTTTCTTCTCTTGTCTTTTCTTGCTACTTTCACTTTGGAGGATTAACTACAGGCCGGCACTTTTTTCTTCCTCACCTGTTGGTCCCTTTTACTCTCTATTCTCCCCACGAATCCACGAAAGAAAAGAAAAGGAAAAAAAAAAAATTATTTAATGTAAGACATGGGGAGTTCTTGAAACACTGAGCTGGGAGAAGCAAGCAGGAGGAGGTTTCTTACGAACTTTTCAAGGCTTGCAAATGTATGTATGAATTACCATAAAAAAACAATTTTTTTAGGCCCTCGTTGTCTGTACCGGGTAAACTAAGTATTGCTTCTTGCGAAATATAAGAACGGCTGGATTTTCTTTTAATACCCCCAAAAGGACCAAAGGCTCCCAACTTCCCCGAGACGGCTTATAAAGAATCGAATCCACACGGTCACCAAGAGTGTGGTAACATAAAATAAATAATTACAGTATAAAAGCACAGAAAAATAATATATGTAAGGGAGGGGAATAATGCAGTCATCACCGACAATGCAAGAGCATCCACACCAGTACCAGTTCGTCAGGCAATCGTTCGCATATACAAAGAAAAAAGAGGAGTTAGCTATGACCCGGCTTCAATAAACAAAAAGGAGAAAAAAAAATTGTTAACAAGGTCTCAATCAAGACCTCCCTTCTTAGTCGGGGATACAGTATATAAATCTCGTCGAAAGTGCCCACCATTCATATCGGCATTAAGAAATAAAGAGGAAAAAAAAAAAAATAAATAAAGCAGTAAAACAAGAACTCCACGTCATGTATTCACATCAAAACTGTCCAAAGCGCAAAACTAGCGCAAATCTCTTTTTTTTCTTTTTTTCTTTTTTTTTTTTTCAATTAGGCTGTTTCTTCTCATACTTGCCTCTGAATTCGTCCACCTCTTTCTGCAACTTCGATAGGTCCGCGAGGATATTATTCGCGTTGGAGCGCGGCGCAGGAGGCGATTCTTCGTCTACTTCTTTGTCTTTAATCTGATTGCTGCTTGTTTCAACCATCGACATTGGCCTCGCCGGCCGGGAATCTTCAGAGCTGTATGCTTGCGAGCCGCCGCTCCGTCTCGGAGGTGGGGGTCGCGGTGGCACAGCAGACGGGCCTGAAAGCCGTGATAGTCTATTCACAGAGCGTATCGAACCGGTTTCGGAGCGCTGGAGGCTGGTGTTTTCAGAAGCATCTTCTGCTTCTTCATCTGGAGGAGCGGTGCCGTCTGGAGTAATAGGGAATCGAGACTGGGTAGAAGGCGATGAATTGGACGACTCCCGATCTTTACGGCGCGAAGGTGGTGGAGGCGGAGTTCGGGGTGCTGTAGACCCGGAAAGGGACGATGTTTTGGGAAGTCGAGTAGAACATGAACGGCTGATCGGGGGAGAGGGTTTGCACTGTTTTAGCTGACTGCTTCTTCGCACAGGAGGGATGGGTGGGAGCGGCTTGGGGTTCAAAAACGCTTCAGACCGAACTTCAGCACGTCGGTCCAAAGCTGAAATCCTGGTGGTACAATCAGAGCGTTGGATGGGAGGATCGGAGACAACTCTTCCTCCCTGCTGTGAGATTGATGGAGAAGGAGGTCTCAACGGCAGGAAAGAATTGTCCGATGACGGGGACGGGCTCGAAATTCCAAGCGAAGACATATCGCTGGTGTCACTTTGAATCAGTTTCCCATGCCTCACCTTAGGAGGCGGTGGTTTCTTCTTTCCACTTGGCTTGGATTGTCCGTCAGGGTTCACACTCTCCTTTTCAAAACTAGACATCGTCGAGGATCCACGCCTCACATAATCCTGCAAAGCGGGTGTGGACTCGGAGTTGGTTTGTCTCCAGGGTTTTGAATCAATAACATTACCACCAGCCATCCTCTCTTCCTGAAACTGAGCAGGGGAATGTGCTGGAGCAGGACCCAGCTCAATTCCAGCATCCCCAGTAAGAAGCAATCTCTTAAATGCATCCACATCCAGCGTAGCTCTTTTCCTTTGCGCCTCCGGAGATCGCGCACCGTCCGGTGTTCGTGAAGTACACATGGTGTCTGCATCCGGCATCGACCTCTTCAATCCACCCGGATCCTGCTGTTCATGTTGCCCGGTCCCCGACCCTTGCGTCCTCGCTGACCGAGGACTCGGTTGTGTGCTGTCTTCAAGCTCCTGGCTGTCATATTCGTCGTTCCCGGAGACCTCCGGGTTGCCGAAAGGATCAGGGGAAGCTTCATCGTCTGAACTTTCCGACTCTAAATCTCGCACTGGGGGAGGCGGAGAATCACGACGCATCGAGACGCTTTGGAATGGAGTAGTCGTACCCGTCGATAGAGGAGATTGTGGCTCAATGGGGGATATTTGAGAGCGCACGGGCGGGGATGCGATGCGGACTGTTTTCGCCCGCGAGGAAGGATGGGAAGGGATGTCTAGAAGCAAGAGGTCCATTGGTCAGTCGCAAGGGGATATCCAGCAAGCTTAAGGAATTTCATAGAAAGGATATCGTCTTGGGGCGTGAAGGGATGGGCTGAAAGTGCGCACCGTCGTCGAACGCCGCTGATACTGTGCTGCCTGGATCCCGGTTACCCACGTTGGCGGTCGAGCTTAATCGTGCAGGCGGGGTAATTGGGCTTGAGGCAGCCTTTTTATGGCGGAAAGGATTTAACCCAGACATCGTAGACAAACCGGATTGCCCAGAGCATGAGCAAGACCAGGTGTTGGGCGGGGAGGAAGGGAGAGAGAGAGAGGGTGTTGACAGCACCAGGCCGGGAGTTTTTAAGGTGGGCAAGCTTAAAGAGCAGGGGAGGCACCGCCAGAGCTCCCGGTGCGGGTTACCCTGGCCGAGTTACAGACAGACGACTCGCTACTCGAGCAATGGCGATGGGGAACTCGATTATTGCGCTAATCAATTGCAATTTGGTGGTATATCGACTCTTTAAGACATACAGGTTAAAAAATGACAAGGGTAATCCTGTTACACAGTTTGGCCTCCAACTTCAGCGCAATAAATCCCAGAATAAATTGCCCATCGAAACGCCCGTAATCCAGCAGAAAATAGTCCATTCTCTGTTCGGCTAGTTTAAAAAAAAAAAAAAAAAAGAAAAAGAAGGAGGAGGTGGAGCTTTTCGTTCTTTCATGCTGCTTCAAAGCTGTTTGTAGCTCGCGTGTCCAAGGAACTCTAACTCTTGAGCCTGATAAACCAAAGACGGCTCAATTGGTGGCATAGATTTCCTTGTAGACATACCACGGCTCATCGGGCCCGAAAAATGCCTCCATGAGGCGACATCCGCTCTCCGTTGGTTGACTAAATGCCACCTGCGACTTTGGAATCTCAATTCCGTAGAAGTAATTGCCCACGACACAATCCAACAGGTCCATGGCAATCCCCTTTCTTCGAGACGAAGAAGACGTCCACACTCGCGATATCCCCACAGAAGCTGGCTGCTTCTCCTGACTCAAGGTGATTGACGAGCCATCGAATCTCTCCCCAGATCCTTTGACAGGCTTTTCCCCGTCCCGCTTAACAAGATGAGACTCCCATATCCGTTCAGTCAAGCATAACCCAACGCATTTGCTGTCCTTCATGTGCAAAAACACCTTGAATCGATCAACCTCTTCCTTCGACCCGTTCTTCCTAAACTGCTTCGGGGTGTCGATCTGGCTCCACAGAATCGAATCCTCAATTTCCGGAGAAGAAAGCTCCTTGTTGACCACCTCTAGCACTCGTTTTGCCTGATTCTTCGCTGGTAGAGAGCTCTTGCGATCGATGATCACCACGTATCCCTCGTCAAAACGCGCCGCCTCGTATACCCACCTGGACGCATTCGCGCGCACAAACGCCTTGCCAAGATCAATCCCGTTCGAATTCATGTCGTGAAACTTCTTGTGCAAAGCCATATCCTCCGGGCTAGACGGAACGTACTCCATCCCACACCCGGAACAGGTCTTCCGAATTTCTCCGCCCAGGTCGAGCTGCATCTGCTTCAAGACCGGTGGCTGGTGACTTTGCTGCTGTCGCTGCTTTTTCTTCTGAGGATCAGTCGACGATGGCAGAAAGCTATTCGAGTTCACCTCTGCCAAGGGTGTTCCGCCAGCTGAAATGCTGGGCGTCGACCTCTTCCGCTTGAGGAAGGTAAACGTAGGTTTTCGCGTATTTGCCGGCGGAGGCGTCAGCTGTAGAGCCGGAGGCGATGAAGGCGGAGTGGATAGGTCATCGAGAACATCCTCTGAGAAACTCACGGAGTTGCGACGCGACGGACTGGAGAGCACGGCCGCCGATGACTCGCGTATCGCGCATTCAAGGTTGTTCTCGCTCTCGTTCTGGTCCTTTCCGGCGTCGACGCGTCTTTTCTTCGTGGCTGGACGCGCGGCATCATCCCAGAACTGGCGGATGGGTTTGCTGTAAGTTCGCATCATGAGACCCCTATTTGTGGTGCTGTGTCAGGGCGCGTCGCAAGCTTTCCAGATCAGGGGGGAAGGGGAGCTTGTTTACCTCTTGAATGAGTTGGTCACGGTATATGGCATATCTCGCACGCTGACCATGGGTGCTGTGTAGAGACTCAAGGTGCCAGTACCATGCGTGGATGCTGATGCGGGTGGGAAAGAAAAGATGCGTAGATTCGTCAGGGAGCGTCGAGTGTTGAGTGTCGAGTGTCGAGGGTGTTTTGTTATCAGTCGCCGATTGCGCGGGATCGCCAGCTAGTCCCGTTCGGGCCAAGGGCGAGTGAGCACTTCGACGGCAACCAGCACAATCTCTCAGACCCAAAAAAAAAAAAAAAAGGGCGATCCTGCTGTTGATCTCAATCTGCTGTCACACGGTGGAAGAAAGATTATCATCAAATTGAAGGCAGCCTGCAGTCGATGTTCCGCTTGACTCTTTTCCCGGGGATGGGAGAGAGATTGAGTGTGAGAGCGAGCGAGAGACAAGGCAGACGGCAGCCTGATCGCTGATTTGCCTGTTGGTTATTAGCGAGCGAGTGAGACCAATGATCTGTTGCTGATTATGATTATTTTAACGGCCGTGTTCAATCCAACTGCAAGGATGCCTACAGATCGTGGGAGAATGCTTTGTCTCAGCATGGGGCGAGAGAGTGTGTGGAGTCTCCCTCCCAGCCGTCGCCAGGTCGCAGCAGCAACCTTAGTTCTCTGCTCAGCCCAGCGCAGCTAATCACAACCTTCCAGCAATCCCCTCAAGCCCGACCTTCGACCAGGCTGCATGCACCTAACTCTAACCCGACAGCGATGATGATTATTCAACTCTTCGCTCCTCGACTCCCCCTCGCAGCTCGAGCGGCCCATCCGGCTGGGAATGCCAGTTCGGGCTTTGTTTCTCCAGACCCAAGGTGCTCGTTGGCCAAATCATGCACTCCCCCAATAGAGCTTACTTGAGAGACAAGGGAAGAAAAAAAAGGTTCCTCGTTTTCTCTCCTTGCATCATCATGTGGACGGGCTGGCTATTCCCGGCCTTGTTGCTCCGGTCGCCTTTCGGGGAGCACACCCCCAGCCACTTGAACCTCGTTTCTTGCCCTGCACAACAGACACAAAGCTAGGTCGAAATTGAGCAAAAAAGAAAAAAAAAAAAAAAAAAAAAGAAGGTGCGGAGATGCTAGGCGATTTGAGAATCTTCTTGATTTCACGGCCTGCGATTTGTCCCCATCCTCTTGGAATTTTTTAAAAGTGTGTCACACATTTCTATGATATCCCTATGTCCATTTGTTTCAATAAAAAAGCAGTATTTGGTTTGTACGAGATTTTTTGCCCCCCTTCGCCTTTGAAGCTGTCAGGTGGCCGACATCCCTGCATCCATTCTCGAAACTTGCTCGCCGCGCAACTTTCATCCCCAATTCCCCAAACGGACGACTTGCCACTTGAGATGTGCTGGCAGGATCAGATGCAGACACTCGTTCCTATCATTCCCGGTGTCCACGTCTGGGTTGCCGGGTTCCGCACCTTGAGTCCATGTTATGTGTATCCCGTTAGTAACAGGATATGAAAGCGCGGCATCTCTCCGTGATGTAGTGCTACTCTGTACGATGCACTACTTCGTCTTCCCTTATCCAACAAAGTCTAGGCCATCGAGCAACAATATTAACCGTTGGGTTTTGAGAATAACAACGTTGGCTACAAACAGCTAACCATGGTAATCAGCTACATCTATGGCACTTTAGCCTAGACGCCAATTGGAGAAGTTGTCTGCGGGGCAACTCTTTTTTTACCCTGATTTCGTCAAAAGACTCTTTGGGGGGAAGAGAGTTTGAGAGGGGGGTGCATCAAATGGGCGTACCTGGCATTAGAAGACTGCCGCTCTTCGTCAGATGGATTCTTGCCTACAAGGGGCAAAAACCCGCGCGCTAAAGGACCTGAGTTGGTTGGTTAGTTAGGTTTGGCAAACTTCCTTCTGCAACCAACAACTGGGATGAGACCTTGCAACACACTAGGTGTTAACTCGTGTCACTGAATATGGTTGGATTTATGCTGCTGTTGTTCAACCGGGGCTTGCTAACAACAATCCTTACAGAATACAAAGTACCGGAAAGCTGATTAGAGGTGCTCTGCTGGTTTGCCATGAAGTATTGGCATGGCGATGTCTGCAACTCTAGCAGAAGGGTGTTGCCAACTTTTTTTTTTTTTTTTTAGAAGATCAGTGACGGTTCCTGATTATGCTGACATGGCCACTGTCATCTTGTGGGCAGCTGGAAGCAAGGAGCGCAGAACGGTGAGAGTTGCAGAGCGCTCCCATCTCTATTATTTCCTCCCAGTCTGCGAGTTGGGTTCCCAGCTGGCGATTTTTCATCTTACAAACAAACAAAAATAAAAAAAAATTTTACCAACAATTAGTGTCAGCAATTTTGTTGGAGTCTCAAAGCCACGGTAAGAAAGCTGAAGAAGGCAATGAAGAAGAAGGGAAAAAAAAAGCTATCCAGGATCTGGAATGGCTTGCCTGCCGATGCACTGTCAGCGTCAGCATGTCGCTGTTTAGTGCTCAGTGTAAATTCGCAGCTCGCAGCAAAACCTGTCATACAATGCGACGGTTTTCGACCTCTTTTCTTTTTGCTTTTTTTTTCCTTCTTTTTTTCTTTTTTTTGGGGCTGACTCTCGCCTTTTTGCAAATATTGCCGTAAACATAACACTTGCCAGACATCTCGTCAGCTCACAGTGCTATATCAATTGTAGAATAGAGCAGGGAACTTGGTCTCTTGTCTCCCGCCCTGTTCCGGGTTCTGGTACCCCGTAGGAAAGTCTAAAAATATTCGCTGTTTTCGCGGACTTTTTTTTTTAAAAGTGTGCTCGGGGACTTTTCTTTTCTTCCGCTTTCCCCTCTGCCAACCTGTCCCGAACCTCCCAAAACTTGAAAAGATCCAGCTCACGGTCTCTTGACGAGTCTCGATATCCGTCTTCTTCTCTTTTTTTTTGTTTCTTCCCTTTTTCTCAATCCCAATCGTCCGGCACTTCCCCGCAATGGCGTCCACAGACCTGGCGAAGAGAAAGCGACCGAGTAAGTAAAAACCAGCCCTGTTTTTCGCTACTTTCCGCCTGCTCCTGCAATTGTTTCAAGCCTGTTGCGAGGCCTGAATCCCGGAACCTGTGCCAGAACGTGCAGCGCCGTTGCAGACAGCTCAGATATTCTCCGTCCATGTCTTGTGCCTTGGGGCTTTGCCCTCATCACCGCCGGTTGATCAGTTAGGTTTCAGTTTGACTACTAACCAGCGAACGTCCGGCTTTCAGCCTTGGAGAGAGATCTTTTTCTTTTTTTTTCTATTCAACGCCTTTGCTCCAAGTTTCCCCTTTTTTTTTTTTCTTTTTTTTTCTTTTTTTTTTGCCCTGCCCCATCAAGACGAACTACCTTCTCTCTTTAGTGCTTGTCATCGTCAGTTCTCTGCATCTCGAAGGACACGTACTAATCACGGAATGTCGCTCGACGATCCAGGAACCCAATCCTGCCCGCCTCCCGAGCTTCCACAGCTTGTCGCAGAGCAACATGTTCCTATTCCATCGCACGATAAGGACACGAAGCGACTGATTGTTGTCCTATCGAACGCCAGTCTCGAAACCTACAAGGCGGGTGGAAAGGGTATGAATGGCAAGGACGAGAAATACTCGCTGCTCAACAGCGACGAGCATATCGGTGTAATGAGGAAGATGGGTAGAGATATCAGCGAGGCCAGACCGGACATCACCCACCAGGTGTGCACATTTTGATCTTCCCCCGGCCGTTTTACCCTTTTTCTTTCTTTTTTTTTTTTTTTTTTTTTCCCTCGTTTTTTCCCCTCCCATCTCGCTGCAACTTTCAGCTCAGAATGCTTATGGAGAATGCCCTCCCTTGCTTTCAAACTTCAACAGTGCCTTCTCACTCTCCTTGACTCTCCAATCAACAAAGCTGGAAAGCTTCAGATCTACATTCACACCGCAAAGGGCGTCCTAATCGAAGTCAGCCCCACGGTCCGCATTCCTCGCACATTCAAGCGGTTCGCCGGCTTGATGGTCCAGCTGCTACATCGGCTATCGATCCGCTCGACAAACTCGCAGGAGAAGCTGTTGAAAGTGATCAAGAACCCGATCACGGACCATCTACCGCCCAACTGCCGCAAGGTCACGCTCAGTTTCGACGCGCCGGTTGTGCGGGTCAATGATTACATCAGAACGTTGGGGCCCAAGGAAAGTATATGCGTGTTTGTGGGTGCCATGGCCAAGGGCCGCGATGACTTCGCAGATGCGTTCAAAGACGATGCTGTCAGTATCAGCAACTTCAGTCTCAGCGCCAGCGTGGCGTGTAGCAAGTTCTGCCACGCGGCAGAAGATGCATGGGGCATTGTATGAAGGAAAAGGGAAAACAAACTAAAAAGAGAGAATTAGGTCGGCCAATGCAGACCAACCCCAATGGAACAAGCCTCTTTGTATGGGCTTTTTCCCTTTCTAACCTATAGACGCTTACGGAGGTAACGACAGCAGCAGTTTTCACAGCTTTCATCATTACAGACGACGGAAGCCGATTTGCCCGTTCTCACCAAAAAAAGAAAACTCTTAAGAATTAACGACCGAAAAGAAGATGACAATATATTTAACAAAAGAAAAAAAGGAAAAAAAAAAATAAAATAAAATAAAAGAGACAACATCCGTGCTCGCCGGGTTTCTACTCTTGTGCTTTTTCCCCCGTCGAACTCGCCATGCTACCACCTGTCAACCCGGATCTTTTTACATCTGGAATTTGTATGGATGGGAACCATGAGGCCGAGTGGGACCAAGTCAGGTATATAACACAAAAAAAAAGAAAGAAAGTTTACAAACCGTCGAGACCGGGCTCACGATCATAACATCAAGGCCTGAGATCTCTCCTGGCTGGCCTTCCCCCGACCGTGACAGAAGCACAGCGGAATCAGACAGTAACGGCGAAGCAATCAAAACGTATGCTGCGACGACAACGGCCGTGGACCCCTTTTCTTTTTTTTTTCCTCCCTCCCTCTATCTATTTTATTCTCTATTTGTATTTCCTTTAACTCTGGGGGTTTTTCTTTTTCTTTTTCTTTTCTTTTTTCAACTTTCATTTCTCCCTGCACTGAGGCAAAACTCCCGCTTGGGTCTCGTTCTGTTTTTACAACCAAAACACGGGCGATTCAACAGCCTCTAGGCGAGGATTTTGTTCGTGCAAAATATATTTCCCTATCGTCCTTTATACTATCTTCTGTACGGCTTTCTTCGGATGTATAATTTTTCTTTCCCTCCTTTTCTTTCTTCACGTTACAGGATGTCCTGTTCGCTTTTCCTCAGAATGCTAAATGAGAAAACATGCTCGACCTGGCCTTCAGTCTTCCACGGCACTTGGTTCTTGGTGGACAGTACTTCAACTTACTGCCACCTCTCATTTTTAACCCTCGAGATTAAGGTGTAAATTTTTGAGTATTGTTTTCTTTTCGGGAATATGTCGCCGGGTTAAACGGAGGAGAATAAGGACGACAGGGGAGCAGCCAGAGCTGTGTAGATATCATTACAGGGAGTTACTTGTCAGTTTGCAAGGAGGATGTATAAATCGTGGTCAGTCGTAACCAACAAGATGTGCTGCAGATGGGCTGCGATATTCTCCGGAGATTCCACGTATGTATTTCGCGAACAACCGGGGGGGAAGTCTGAGCAGCAGCGTCCGTATGCATGAGCACCCAACTATGGAGCTGGGACTCGGTTGCGTTTTGGGCATAATGCCGGGCCGGGAGTTTTGCTTCACTTTGGCGGCCAACTCTCGCCGCCGCCGGCTCCTCTTTGCGTCGATCATGGAAGAGCAAGGGCAATCAGCATTTATTATGTCGTATGTACTGTACATTCATCGTGGTCGCGAGTGTTATCTTCACGTCTTCATGCAGGTTGCAGGGGCCTGTTCGCTGCGTTTTGGCTCGGGAAGACACAGAGTAAGGCATCGATTGGCCTCTATTGGCGTGTCGGTGGCTGCACGCTAAGACCTTGCTCGGGTTCTGCTCGCCTCATCGTCGCAGCGTCGCAGTGGACGGGCTGCGCGTCCGCGAGATCTTGATGGTCAGCTTGACTAACGAGCTTGTCTTCGATCGATTTCGCCGAGCGGTCAAGCCGGCACAGCACGACCGGGACTCCCCTCTCACTCTGTCGCTCACACGCTCTCGCTCTCTCTCGCGCGCTCCCCAAAGTCCCACTTCTCTTCTTGTCCTCGCCGTGCATTTCGGAGTCACCATCAGGCACGAATGGATCCGCCAGCCCCACGCCCTGATTCGCACGCGCGAGTCACGGATCTCCCTCGTCTGCCCACTCTTCTTTGGCTGCACAGGAACCCAGAAAGAAATGCACGATCTCCCATAGGACCGCCTCCCGACCACATCATGCATCGAACAGGGCAGCCCTCGAATCAGAGCCAGCAGAAAGTGATGCGGTGTTTCAACACGCTCTCACCCTCTGGCTTTGACTCTTTCTCTCTCTCTGTCTCCACTTCCACCCTGCCACCGTTTTGTCTCAGAGCCAACTGCCCTGTCGTTGCTTCCGCTGGGTATCTAACGTACCTCGCTGGACCAACAACGTGCGGCACCAAGAGGGACAAAGATCCGAGTGCTGGGCTGGACCCCCCAAGCCGGGCCCTCTAGAGTGCCACCCCCGAGGCCTCTGTATGTACATCCGGTGTCAGTCTCTTGCCCCGTGGACCCAGCGAACTGTGATGCTTTTTTTCGGCTGGAATGGCGGTGATTTGTTCCCGTCCAAGCATCGCGGGCCGCTTCACGATTTCGATGCGACCCTTTTTAATTCCTGCCAGATTCCCCGATGCTCTTTGTTCTCTTGTATTTATTTTTATTTTTATTTTTATTTCCGTTCTTCATATATTAAAAAGGATTTGTCCTTTTTTTTTTAAACGCTTCATTAACTTGAGTATCACGGTCGGGTACGGACGTGGCTCTTGCTACCCTTGAAAGAGAGCTCGGAGAGTAGCATAAACATTCGCGTTTCTTATAAATTATCTAGTCTTTATCCTCAACTTGTTTGCTTGTCCGTTGCTATCCGTTTAATGGATAGCCTAATTTGACCATTCATTCCAAGTGTCTGTGCTACCCATTCCCGTCTCTCGTGAGCCTGTCTCGACTGTCTCGTCCTCCCGCGGATAAAACAGCGCAAGCCGGCCCATAAGCCTGCCGTCGCACGAAAATCTTAATCTACACGAACTGCCAGCCTCTGTTCGCATATTTCTTTTTTTTTTTTTTTTTTTTTTTCTCTTCTTTTTGCCCTACTCGGACAGTGTACAACAGTTCCACCATGCCTGTTTCACATCTCACGCTTACGGTCTCGAACCTACCTCAATCGACGTCCTTCTTCCTCTCCTGCCTGCAGCCTCTGGGTTATAAATTTATCGGCCGACATGAGAACAGCATTGGATTCGGCGCTGAGCCGGGAAAGCCAGCGGACTTCTGGATCGCCGAGGAAAGACCAGGGTGAGTCGCGCAAATCTTACCCTACTACGATCTTTGACAGCTTGGTATGGAGCGCTGATGTGAACCTTTTTTTCTGTAATAAAAAAGAGTGCCGGCCGGTGCTGCCCACATTGCATTTCCAGCTCCATCCCGCGAAGCTGTCAGTGCTTTCTTCATCGCCGCGCTTAAAGCAGGAGGAAAGATCCATGGAGAACCATGTCTGCGAGATGCGGAGCAGGGTTACTTCAGCGCTGCGGTGATTGATTTCGATGGAAACAGCATTGAAGCCGTCAATCGGTGCCAAGACAGCAGAGAGAACGATCGAGCGTTGACCGTGGTTGAGAATGGATCGTATGTCTCCAGGGCTATGTCGTCCAAGAGCCGAGCTCCTAAATCGGAGGTCGGATCCGTTGCACAGAGGAGTACCGTCAGCGCTGCGAGAACCGTGCCGACAATCGAGCAAAAGGCGAGGTCGGCTGTTTCATCGGTGAAACAGCCGTCAATCCAGTCTGCTTACCAGCCGTCGATGCAGCCCTCAATGCAGCCATCGATCCAGCAATCTTCTCAGACACCACCACAGACCACCATGGCGAAACCAGGCGACAACTTGAACGGCGCTAAGGCTGTCGTGGGCACGCTCCTCGGTGCAGCAGCCGGAGCTGCAATCGCATATGCGATGGTCAAGGGGGAATCGCAGTCCCAAGCCGAGACCGCTCCACCACAGTACACCGAAGAGCCACTCGCTTATTCGACTGAGAAAGCACCAACAGAGTACAGGGCCATCGAGGCAGCGCCACAGAGAGCAATGTCCGTGGATGATGGAATGTCTGCGTATGCCCATACGATGTATTCTAAGAACCCCCGCGCAAGCACAATCTTTGAAGGGCTCGAGCAATGCACGCAGCTGCTCAGCAAGGCCGCCAGCCTGGCTGGTGGCAACCAGAGCCAGGGCCCTCCTGACATCCGTCGCGCCTCGAGTGGAAGCGTAGTTTACAGCGCTGGATCCAACGCCGACATGCCCATCCGCGCCATCGAGGGAGTGCCAGAAGACTTCGAAGACCAGATGTCCTATTACAACAAGAATCCCAGTACTTTCATCAGCAGCTTCACGGAGCGTCCCCGTCGACGCTTCGAGGAAGACCGACGAAGCAGCTACTCAGGCCACAGCAGCGTCGTCTCCTCGTCCACAGTCAAACCACCAAAGTCAACCCACTCCCGACCGTCCTCGCATCACTCCCACTCCTCCCGCTCCATCATCACCATCAACGACATCTACGACAAATCCTCCTCCACATCGCGCCATCCCACCGCCTCCGTCTACTCCGCCACCCACTCAGCCCGCAACATCCCGCTCCCCAGTGGCTCCGTGACCACCATCTCCACCTCCACCACCTCGCGCAGCAAACGCAGCAGCCACCACTCGCACGCCAGCTCCGTGGCCCGCCACGTGCCCCTCCCCGCCAGCGTCGCTGGCACAAACACCATCTTCCTCGACGACGTCGATGTCGACTCGCATGTCACCCTACCCACAATCCTTCCCGATGGCGCCAGCCGTGTGTCGCGCAGGAGCTCACATGCCCCATCAACGTCGTCGAGGCGGCGATCGCGTTCGGGGTCGCGCAAGGGCTCGGTGGCGAGCGTCAACACTCTGCGGAGCAGTAAGTTCGATGAGCCGGTTAAGCCGAGTGATAGTGTTAGTCAGGTGGGGAGCAACGCGGGATATTCAACGACGTCGAGGAGGAGTGGACGCAGTAAGCGATAGCGAGAGAGAAAGAAAGAGCAAAAGAGCGAAGGTTTTGAGATGGGGAGTTTGTGATGCATGCCACGGGTGAAGCAGAGCGACGTTTTTGCATAGGAATGGTGCTGCGGTTTGCTTTATGCTACCTGTCTTATTTGCTTCTGTTCTCATGACTTTTTCATCAATTTGTTTGGTGTGTCTTTGTTTCTTTGTCTACCTGGTTTAGGTCTTCTTCCTGTTCTTCTGGGGGGAGCTTGCAGGTTTCCTGTCTCATTTCTCGTCTAATGTATGGCTTTATAAGTCCTTTCCACTTCCTTTCGTCTAACCTCTTTTAATCAGACAAAATTATTTATTTTTTGTGCTTCTCTTTTCTTCTTTGCTAGACATGTTCACTGCTATAACCCACTGCATAGAGGGAAGACCATAGATATTTTGGGCCAGTCTGTACAGAGAAACAAGTGGATAAAATCAGAATACATATTTAAGCGCAGCTAAATGCCTCTTGGGAATATATAAGCAGCACAGGCCAACAAATCTCCATTCGCAACTCAATCTAACTCAAGTAGTCACTATTTATATCTTATATGTAGCAGAAAAAGGGGAAAGTAAAAACCTTCCTCAAAACAGAGAAATTGCAGATGGATATATCATTGAAGAGGAATGAATGCATGTTCAGCAAAAGACCGAATAACAGAGAGAAAACGAGCCACCCAGAAAAGCAGAAAGGGAGGGAAGAAAACGCAGCCCACGGCGTGCTATGGTCTCACCAGCATCAAGTCAAAAATGCTAGAAGTTCCCAAGTAGTCACAACCGGAGACAGCGAAGACAAGGTACTCGAACAGTGTCAATTCAACTGTTGTCGAAAATTTAAAGAGAACAACATGGCGAAGACAAGAATGACACACGAAAGACTCGGACTTGTGGTACACGATGCTGGTTTGTTAAAAGAATCCTCGCGAGGCAGTGTACGGTAGGAAGTGGTGTGCATGCATAACATAAAATGCTCGTCATATTTGGATTTCGTTAATAAAGGAAGATACGGAGCATGGACGGTTCTAAAATGAGCTGGCCGGAGAATACCAAAAGGGCAGTTTTGGCCAGCAACACACAAAAACACCACCACCCAAGTTCATACACCCGTCGCATTATTTATCAAACCCAGGAAAATGCACCACATGCCGTTACAGGGTAGTCATGCTGTCATGCTTGGCTCGTCCCCACTCCGCCATCACCATTCACCTTATCAAATAGCATACTTCCGTGTCCATTCACGAGCTGTGGCCTCGTATCTAGGACGGTCGGTCTTGTACACGTGGGCAATCTCAGGAACCAAGGGGTCGTCAGGGTTAGGGTCAGTAAGCATAGAGCAGATGGACAACAGAACTAGTACACGTTAGAAGGGTGCGAGCAAAAGAATCCACGGATCCACAAGCTATACCTTTAGAGATGGTAAGAGCAGGACTCCACTGATCTCTCAGAATGTCAAGGCAGATGCTTCCATTTGAGTTGATGTTAGGGTGGTAAATGCGGGTGGTGAAGTTGACCTTTGGCGGCTTGAAAGGATAATCGGTAGGGAAATGGATAGCTAAAAAGAAGACGCCGCCGGAGTATGGACTGTCGCCCTGTTGGAAACAACCGTTAGCCCTTGATATGCCGCACTGAGCTGGGCATAGAGCAGGAAAAGCATCGTCGTGCCATAGCCTGAACTAATATTGCTCATGCCTTTTTTTTTTCAAGAGAAACTCACAGGTCCCATGATAGTAGCTTGCCAGTGAAACTAAAGCAGAGTCAGTTTTCACAATCTCGATAAACGAACAATGCCGAATCGCATATTGCGGTGCGCAACGCTGAAACGCTCCCGACACGCGACACAAACACGGGGTTTGGCGGGTAACATACCAGATCATCTCCAACTGGGCCTGCGGAGCAGGATGAAGGAGGATCGCTGCGGATTGCTAGTCAGCTTTCTGTCTTGCAAAAACGGCGGTATATGGCGCCTTTGGGCGGCAAGCCCGTGGTGGTCAAGGGGAGGCCGGCGTTTGTTATGCCCCGCAAGTGGGGTTGTTATTCAGCCCAAGGCACACCCAACGAAAAAAATGGGAGTCACTCACCGGCCGAGATCTGAGAGTTCCTTGTTGATCCGCTTGAGAGCCATCAGGAAGGATGTGTGTATGTGAAGAGAAGGAGATGTGTGAGAGAGGGAGGAAGGAAATCTTGAGGAGTGTAGGGTGGTGTGTCTGTTTCAGGTTGGCAGAGATGCAGCGATGAGGCCTGGAAGGAGGGACGGGTTAGCAGCGCACCGAAGAAGCTGGCGTTTCCAGAGGGTAGAGAGGAGGGTTAAATAGTGGCAGCGTGGAGGATACCTACCGGGGAGCGTGTGGTAGTGATTTGCACAGAGGAGCAAAGGGGTTATGTTGAGGTTTAAGGGAGTCTAAGTGATTCAAAGAAGATGGGAAGACGGACGGGGAGGCGGAGTGCGAAAGAAAAGAAAAGAAGTGGAAGTCGAAACGCCTGTATCAGCCCTGTATTACCGCTGAGTCATCCCCTGCCTGCCGCGGGGCCGTTGCCGTACTTACACGAACCGCCGGTAAAGAAAACTCGCCCTTGACCGGACAAAAGTGGTTCCGAAGAAGCGCCGTGGGCATCGCCACACTCTTGACTAAGCAGCAATGATAAGATAAGGCCATGGGTGTATGTACCGCACGTACCGATACGGTTTCTTTTCTTCCGTAAGGGGGTGTAATACATACACAAATCTTACGTCCATCTTACATGTCCTGTACACTGGGCAGAAGACAAGCATCCCAACCAGGCGAAACGCTTCTTTCAGTGTCAAATGATTCGTTTCGGGTGACGGCAGCAATCCTCTGTCATCAGTGAGTGGTGTGGGCGCCCTGTATTTCAGGGAAGCATCACTAAATATAGATGACTTATCCTAGCGGGGTGTTAATTTATATTACAGCGTGATTCGTGCCTTGCTCCATAAGCGCCCACAGCTAACTCTACTTTGTGGCCAACCCGGAAAGCTGTCGCTGTGCCATTGTCATGCGTGATGATGCATTGTTCGTGTACCTTGTAAACTAGTGAGTTTAAGATAGCTAGTTAACTTACACAAAAGGGTTGCTTATCTAACAATCTATATAAGTAACTCCACGCCGCTGCGACAATCAAAGCAACAAAACCGGTTTTGTACAGAAGGGACTGGGAAAAAAAAAATAACCTAAATCTAGCAGAAAGCCTGGACGCCGGTGATGGCTCTACCGAGAATCAAACCTAGCATGGCGAGTTAGTATGGGAAAAACCAGGGTTATAAGACAATTTCAGTGGTGCGGAACTGGCTTACTGTGGATATCACTCTGCCCTTCGTATGTCTGCGCAACAAAAAGGTTGGCAACGTGGCGGCCGATGTGGTACTCGTCGCTAGCAGCGTTACCGCCAAAGACCTCCTGTAAACTAAACAAAGAAGTTAACTCAACCAGTCATTGCAGGCGGATCAACGAAAGAGCCACAGGACAGTACGGGGCACAGCTTACGTTCTGGCACCCACAAGCGCCCTGTCGCAGTTCTGCCTCTTGGTCATCGAAATCATCTCCGGCGTGCACTTGCCCTCATCCTTCAATCTCGCAACCTGAACGGCCGCTAGAGTACCATAAGCCGCATCGGTGGCCGCGTCGGCGAGTTTCTTCTGAATCAGCTGGTACTTGGCCAGCGGATTACCCTTGAATTGCTTCCTCTCAATGGAATATGTTCGTGCTCGGTCAATGCAGTCTTCCAACGCACCCATAGTTCCAAACGCTATGCCCAATCTCGCGCTGTTGAGACATGTAAAGGGACCCACGAGACCTTCGACATCGGGGAGCATGTTTTCTTCTGGGACGGGACAGTTGTCGAGCTGGATCATGCCGGTGATCGAGGCGCGGAGGGCCGTTTTATTCTTGATAGCTGGTGTCTCCAGCGTGCCAGGAGGGCATTGATCGCGCTGGACGATGAAGCCCTTGATTTTACCGGTGGACTCAAGTTTAGCCCAGACAAGGAAAAGATCGGAGATAGGGGAGTTAGTGATCCAGGTCTTCGCGCCGGTGAGGGAGTAGTATCCCTTCTTCGTGGGATGCGATCTCGCGACAGTCTCCATAGAGCCGGGATCGGATCCATGATTAGGCTCAGTAAGCCCAAAGCAGCCGATTAGCTTGCCCTTGGCGAGACCGGGAAGATATTTCTCCTTTAGCTCTTTGGTACCGAATTCATGAATGCCAGTCATTATCAGGGAGCTCTGCACGGACATGCCAGATCGGAAACCAGAGTCAACACGCTCCACTTCCTTCGTGATCAGCCCGGAGGCGACGGTGCTAACACCGGCGCAACCATATCCCTCAATCGTAGCTCCTAGCAAACCCAGCTCTCCCATCTCTTGTAGCATTGTCTTGTCGTAGTCCTCATTCCGATATGCCTCTATATGGAGGAGGGGTCAACATCAGCTGCACTCGTCCCAACCTCAAAAGCGGTAGAGCTGTACGTACCCAGTACCCTTGGCATCAAACGTTCCTGGCAGTACTGTCTCGCTGTCTCCGCAATGGCCAATTCTTCCGGGGTATAGAGATTTGCGGCATTCAACGGATCCTGCCAATCGAATCTGGCAGCGGAGGAAGAGGCACACCGTCTGCTAAGGCTACTGGATGTGGCCTTGGTTACGTTGAGAGCACCACGCGCAGTGCGACCCAGTAGTGAAGTATTCATCGTGGATGATAAGAAGGACTAAAAGGAATAGATTCCTAAAAGGAGAGGAGGTAGAAACGTTAACTTCCTGAATCTCAGTTGACCGTCCAGCATAGAGCTTCAAAGCGTTACCTTGAATGAAAGAATTGCTCACGAAGAAGAGAGTGGAGATTGTCTTTTTCCCCTTGGTAGCGAGTACGGTGCTTCAGGAAAACACACACACACACACACACATATATATATATATATCTCTAAGCACCAACCCAAAAAGGAGGTATGACCCCGAAGCGCAGAATGAGTCGGAGATCGCCAGCAAATGCGGTGCGGTGCGGAATCTACCTACCCGCGGAACTGCCGTAGGTTTCGGGTAATTTTGATTACCACGGTGTAATGTCGAGGTATTCCATTGCATCATTGTCCAATGCCTGAAAGAGCGCCGAGAACCACAGAAGTACAGCCCCTTTCACAGGAAATTGGTGGTTGATATGTCCAATCATACTCTCATGCTATGGAACAGTTTTGATACCTTGTGGAAGTCATTGCTATTCCCCGAATTCTCTACTTTTGTAGCCTCATGCGCCGGCTACTGGATTATCTAAGCCTCTGGGTTCGGTGTAATATGCCGGTAACGCTAACGCGTCGTGGGCCTCGCCCGACACCACTGAGACGGGGTGTGGATCAGGGAGTATTTTGTCTGCAGACGTTCGGTAGAAACAAGGATCCTGATTTGAAGATACCTTCGTTGGACAGCAGGCAGAGAGCCCATCATTCTTGAATGGTGGACTCATCTTGCATTCCGCCACAATTTCCGCATAGCCAACCTCTGATATCGGGCCGAATCTCATCTGCCGTTGCGGCACTATTTACAGTTTCGCGGCATCATTTGATAGGACAAAGTGCCATCTCAGACCTAGCATATCTATCCAGCCATCTCCATGTGGCAAGTCAAAAGATCGTGCCGCAGAAAAAATGCGATCTAGTTTTTGTTTCCCCTGAACTGCGATGGTGATTGATACCAAACCGTCGCTTGCACCTTCTTTACCTTCAACAAAGCTCATCCAGGCATTGGTGAATTGCAAGTTTTCGCGAGTCCTCGGAACGCCGAATACCTCTTCCCACTGATTTAACGCGGCTTCTATATCCAAGTCACCAGGCTCTAGACGGCAGTGAATGCCGACTAGATGAAGATGGGAGCAGCGCCTCATCCCGGCAGAGTAGGAGGCATAGTCCGACCCGCAAGCATGCCACTGCGAGAACTGAGATGCCAGCGGCTCTGGGTTTGCGGGCGTTGCACGGTGGGAGTCAAGTTCAGGCATCATACCGCCTTCGCGCAATATGGTTAGCCATGCCCATTACAATCGGTGGGGCCACCTCACTGCTGCGTTCTAACCTTTTATGCGCTTTGGATGATACTGAATACAAACACTATCGGGCAACCTATGACTGAAGATGACTTTACCAAGGCCCTTCGACTCGATGAACGCACGCCGCCAATCAGCATCCATGGTCTGCATGATGATCATGTAGCCCCCATCCCCCCTCTTGGACAGAAGCCTGCCGGCAGTTGTGCCCGATTTTGTCGGTGACACGACCTGCAATGAGCTCAGAGCGTTGCCACTTGATATTATACCTGAACATCTTACCTCAATGACGTCGCCGCCAATAGCAACTGGGTTTGTAGTTAGTTTATAATGCCCGTCAAACCGGGAAGTGCAACGTCTATTGTTGTGTTTGTCTTGCTCACCCAGGATGTTTCTTAGGCCCCATTTCGCTACTCCAGGATCAATAAAAATCACCTCTGTTCCGAGAACGGAGGTCTTTCCCGAAACATTCAGTAAGCTAATTGTCTAGACGTTTGATGATCATGCTGGCTTCTTCCATACCAGTAAACTCTCCGCGCGATCGATATCATGCGCAACAAGGACGATCTGCCGCAGCCGTGTCGGCGCTGGCCCAGGCAAGATTTCACCGTTATAACTCATATTTCTTGACTTTGGTATTGGAAAACAGCACCAGTATACCGGAGAGTGCTTTTATTGCTAATGAATGGTTCTATGGTATGAATTTCAAGTAGATGGGGAGGAATGGCCTGATCATGTTAATAAACTTGAACGTACGGAGTCCAATACTCTGTAGAGCCTCGGCATACTTCCCCGCCTAGGACGGTCTAGATCGGGAAACCGAAAGAGTGAAGTTTGGGGTTTGCAAACGCCCGAAGATGAACGTAAGAGGCAGCAACTTCTACTTTATCGTAAATAGGACATGCAGCCCAGGAAGTAGGCAATACGTCTCGCCTTTGGGCTCCCGGGGCGGCGTTTTCCAAAAGATGGCAATGCCGACATGAGCATGAAATGGCCTGTTTGAATCCAATAGCATCCCATGCAGTGCCTCAACTGGAAGCTGAGGTGGCAAAGCAATCTGGAGTAGAAGCCGAAATAACTTCAGAACATAGACGACCGCGCCGTACTCCAGAGAGTCATGTCAATGAGTTCCAGCATTTTTAGATTGCCGTTATGGTCCCTTCATATTACGCTAAACTAAACTTGGTAAAATTGGATCGCGCTTGGCGGGAAGCTCGACGCGCCTTCGCGTCATTGCTTGCCCCGATACCAGCTGCGGGTTTTGAACTGCTCAACCAAAATTCAAGTGCTCCAATATTTCAGGATCTAATATCTTTTTTTTTTTTCCCGAAGCACTATTTAACTACATAGCCATGGGTATAAAGCGTGCGTTTCCACTCAATTACTAGCTACACGACAAGTTAAAGAGATGTGCTGAGACTCGTCTATAGATCTATATCAGATAATATCTGAAAATGCGCCCGACGCGATCAAAGTCGGTGAAATTAAGAATCACTTTGGGAGGAAAGTTGCTATAGTATGTTCCATCCCATTGAGCTTGGTATCCCTTGAACTATCCGCTAACGTATACCTTTTCGCGACATCAGGATGCGTACGCTATCCCCATTTCCCTCTTATTACAACCAGATCCGATTCTAATAGATCAATTATAGCTCCATGAGCATATACAGCTTCCTCATAGCCGTTCGCTCCGACGGCCAGCAGCTCATGAACGAGTCCGGCGAAACCACCTCTCATCTGATGGGATTTTTCTACCGAACCCTACGCATGGTAGATAATGGTATAAAACCTCTGTATGTCTTCGACGGTGCTCCTCCTAAGCTTAAATCCGGTGAATTGGCCAAGCGCATGGCGCGTAAGCAAGAAGCTGCCGAGCAGCATGAGGAGGCGAAGGAGACGGGCACGGCGGAGGATGTGGAGAAGTTCTCGAGACGCACGGTGAGGGTGACGAGGGAACATAACGAGGAGTGTAAGAAACTGTTGAAGTTGATGGGGATACCGTACATAGACGCGCCTACGGAGGCTGAGGCGCAGTGCGCAGTTTTGGCCAGGGCAGGGAAGGTATATGCCGCTGCATCAGAGGATATGGATACATTGTGTTTCGATTCGCCTATTTTGTTGAGACATCTCACGTTTAGTGAGCAGAGGAAGGAGCCTATTCAGGAAATACACTTGGAGCGGGTCTTGGAAGGGTTGGGAATGGATCGGAAACAGGTACATCTTTTACTTGTTTTCCACTTGAGGAGGCAGCACTGACATGGTTAAATTATACAGTTTGTCGACCTATGCATACTTCTGGGCTGTGACTATGTCGACCCAATCCCCAAAGTTGGGCCCAACACAGCACTCAAAATGATCCGCGACCACGGCTCGCTAGAAAAGGTAGTCGAAGCCATGGAAAACGACCCCAAGAAGAAATATACAATTCCGGAGGATTGGCCATACGAGCAAGCCCGTGATCTCTTTTTCGAACCCGATGTGCGCCCTGCGGATCACCCAGAATGCGACTTTAAGTGGGAGTCTCCTGATGTGGAAGGGCTAGTCAAATTCCTCGTGGAAGGGAAGGGCTTTAGTGAGGATCGGGTACGTAGCGGAGCGGCAAGATTGCAGAAGAATTTGAAAACGGCGCAGCAGTCGCGGCTGGAAGGCTTTTTCAAGCCGGTAGCGAAGACGGAGGAGGAGAAGGCAAGTTTGAAGAGAAAGCACGAGGAGAAATTGGAAGCGGCTAAGAAGAAGAAAAAGGAGGATGCGAAGGCGAAAAGAGAAGCAAGATCGAGACCGAAAGGCACTTCGTAGTAATATTCATCATGGGTGGGAGTTTTGGGAGTTTTGAATTTTTTGTCTATCTAGCTATCGCACGAGAGGTATATTTTACTCCTTGGAATGATTCCCTTGAGGTGCTCCGGAGAGGTTCCTTGTGTTTGCCGAACCGTATCCTAAAGAATCACATAATTTGCAAACAACTGCTGCTCTTTACATTTTCTGCGTCTATTCGTAATGCGGCTGTACGGTTCTAGCCTATACTCTGAAGACATTTCAGTATCATCTCTATAGTGCGGATAACATTGATTCTGAGGCCACACATCCTCCATCAGACCCATTTCGCACGACGAGCAAAGTCAGCTAACTTGCACAGCCAGTGGAATAGGTTATATGGATTGATACAAGTCCACAGAAAGCCAAACTAGTTCCATAACCTCGCCTCAAATCCCTAGTATCTATTAAGTTATGAGCCCTTGGGCTGCCAACATGCTTAACTAGTTAACTAGTTATTTGACCAATAGAGAGTGTGCTGTCCATGAAATCCAGAGAAATGGAAAAGCCTGAATAGGTGAGTCCAAGAAGTGGACTCAATTCTCTGCAGAGGACAGTTAATAACAAGAGCACAGAGTACTCTGGAGTAATCTGTTAGAAATCCCCAAACAGCCAGAAGGTTCATTCAACTATCCCTACTAACAGTTAAGTAACTAACTAGTTGGTTCATTCAAGGCTGAATGCTCCTTCATGTGACCCACACATCTTGAGGTCCACTTGTCAAGCATCAAAATACCCCAATACTTCAGACATTGATCAGACTTGAGAGCTCCAAACTTCATACTGCTGCGAGCAAATAAAAAGCTTGCTTAAAAGCTACATACACAATCCAGAATGGAGCACAGAATACAGATATATTCACATCCAGTGCAACAGAATTAAAGGCCACAGCTTGCCACAGTGGCAACCGGAGACTCGCAGAACAATATGCAAAAAAGAGCCATTCTATTCAAGCTTGCATTATAGAACGGCCTTTGCAACCAAGATGTATTCTGTGCGTGATTTCTTTCCTCCACTTGAAATTACCCACTTATCTGCTCAGTAGCTGGTAAGCTTGGATTCCAAAAGATTTTGAATATTTGTTTACCTGGTTTATCACCTTCTCTTCTTCCTGATGGGCCCCCACCAAGCCTTGACATCGCATCTCTGAAAGCTCAGTGCGCCAATATAATGAGCTTCAATTGGCTACTTATGCTAGTTTGTCATTGGAAGTGCCAGACCGGCAGCAGGGCAATTAAGTTGCCTTTAAGAAGTTTGATTTCAGGAAGCTTTGAAAGCTCCATAGTTTCTATGTCACATGATGAAAGTTTGTTGTGAGAATTTTGAAGCTGCTTCTCATCATCACAAGAATTTGCCTTTGGGCGGAGGCAATATGCGTGAATGCTGTGACTGTCACAGCATGAAAAACCACACTCATATTTGCTTGAGGAGCCTAGACAATCTTGTAGGGTTCAGTTTCATATTTCACAACTGACAGCCATTCCAATCCCTGGTATAATGTGACACTTTGCGTTGATGGATAACTCAGCCTGCCCCTATCCTAGCTGTGATGTTCTGAGTCTATCCCAACTGCTTTCGCTGCAAGCTGCAGTCCGGGCTACTGCGTCTGTTTCTCTGCTAGCTTGTCTTCTTGTGATTGCAAGTTATGCCTTCAGCACTCTCTTTCACACCCCACTGAATCGACTGATTTTCTATGCGACATGGGGCAACCTTCTAGCACACGTGGCGGAGTTGATAGCGTGGTCGGGACCTAGGGCTGGGATTACCAGTTCACTCTGCAAATTCCAGGCATTTTTCATTGAATGGTGCGCTAAGAATCGAACCCTATCCTATTCTCTCTATGGACTCACTAAAGTAAACCAGGTTTACATCAGCTGATGCTCTCTGGAATCTATGTATCGCCATCAATGTCTATCTGGTTATATTCCGCCACTATTCCATACCAGAATTACGAAAATTGGAATGGAAATACTTTCTTTTCTGCTACGGATTCCAGTTTATCCCTGCGCTTGTATTCCTTTTCATCAACACAGAATCCAGAGGGAGAATCTATGGCGATGCAATCGTATGTTGACCTTTCCTAAATTGATTTGCCTCGTCACTAATACTACTTTTTGTGTTTGACATCAGACTTGGTGCTGGATCAGCGATCAATGGGGCATACTTCGCCTTAGCGTATATTTTGGTCCCATTTGGTTCTCATTCGTGGTCATCCTTAGTATTTATATTGCTGCCGGCATAAAGATCTACATCATTGAAAGAGGGATTAAGAATTTCGCTGCATATAATTATCCCGTCTTGGATGCCACATCGCCCGACGCTTTAGATGAGCAGCTCTCTGGAAACCCGCCACCTGGCGATGATCAATCCACTTCCATCAACCGCGTGGAACCTGTGTCTGGGGGACAGCAGATAATTGAGACTCAACCTTCCCGCCTACATGGGTCAAAACCTGCGAATCAAGCATCGCCTAACAGTCAAGCTCCCACAGTGGACTTCTCAATCGGTTCTATGTCGCTGCAGACTCAAAACCGAGCCACAAGCAAACATGAACCGGTTTCTCCAAATAATTCGGTGTCTAGCAGACCAACAATTGCTGGAGGATCTGGCGACGCACCTCAGCAAGAGCCCCCCGAAGAAAGTTCTGACAATCTAGAGTCACTACCTGGGGCAGCTAATTTGACGCATCCCACAAGTACTGGGGCTATGGCAGACCTAGAAAGCCAATTGAGCGCACAGACGCCGGGGTCAGAGGAAACTACGACTCGAAGAGGCTTTACCGAAAGGAAAGCAGCCAGAGCTTATGCCAAGCTCGCAAGTCTATATTTCTTGTCTTTACTTGTCACCTGGGTATGGGCTATTTCCTCTCGGCTTTGTTGAAAACGGCTCATTGTTTATCTCACTTACAGATACCCCCAACGTCAAATCGGACATACATATTCGCACACCCGGCCAGCCCTAGCTTCGCACTATTGCTTGCTTCGGGCGTCGCGGTGGCACTACAAGGATTCTGGAACGGTGTCATCTTTTTTAGCACCTCGTGGGATGCGGTTAAATCCTCCTACAAAACCTTGAAATCGCCTCATAACTGGTCTATGCCGGCACTCTTCAGAAGACCTTTCATATTCCTCCACTTTTTAAACGCACTAATACGGGAAGGAAAAATCAGACCTAGGCTTTCGTCGAAGTGATCAGGGGTAGGGTATTATTGAAGTTCGACCTCTGACTCGCTAATGAGTTTTTTGCATTTTGCAACCCCAATTTATGCTGAGCTCACCGAAAATATAGACACCATGTGCCTTCCATCTCTCTAATTGCTTACCAGCGGCCCTGCCTCGTCAAAAAAGAGAGATAAGGAAAAAGGGAAGAAAGAAAAGAAAGTCGCAAAGCACATAAAGAAGCTAATTGAAAGGTGTTCAAAAACAGCCGAACAGAACTTGACATAAACTTGATCAGTTTTAATATAATAAGTTCATACTCCTCCCAAGGTGGACTTGGCTTCGAGGGAAATTTCATCTCACTTTTGCTTGCCGAATGCGATAGCGCCTCTACGCTTTATCCAGAGTAACTGGAGAGCCATAGACCATTCTACTTAACTTTCTTGGCGCATTTGATGTCCACTTAGACAGGGACACACTGGTTACTGATATCCATACTGTCCTCCTGAGAGTCATCGCAGTTGATTACTCGCCGCTGATCAACAGGCTCTAACAATTCAGGTGATACCGCGACTTGTACTCAGCCACATGAAAAAGCCATGCCTGTCCATTTCTTCCATGTGCACGCCGATATTGTGTTTCAGTACTCTGTACTGTTGGTAACTATGCATTATATCAACATTGATATCAGCTAAAAGGGCCACAAAGGTGAATGACCATGATCAGGCAGACTCCGTCCAAACCAATGGACCTCTCATCTCACCGGAAATGCCCCCGAATCAAAAACGGTTGATTTTGGCAGCTAATTACCGTTTGTCATCCCTCCCTCAAGGCCGTCATTTCCCTGGCTACTATCCATATAGCAACAAACCTCCCATGGTCTCTGAGCCTTGGTGTGATTTTGTTCTTTGAAGTTCCCCTTTTGCTGTGGATCCTCTGGTAGAATGCGGAGGGCAACAGCAACAGTAAGGAAGAGGAGCGCAAAGACTTGTCCTGAACCAAGGAAGAATATGTTCAGGCCTTAAATGCTCTTCAATGAATACATCTCTCATCTTGACCTCAACGCGTGCTGGCGTGCTGGTGTCCTGGCACCCAGCCCACATGCTGCAGGACCTCCGAACCTGCACATGCAAAGTTCATATAAGGTTGGATTAGAGTTCAACTGGAGTTTCGAGTGCTTGCACAACAAACACATATGACCATAGGAAGTGGAAAACAGGGCTTCCCGTCCGCTCAGCCATACTTAAGCCACTTGTTAAGCTCAGCCAATTCACATGGCCACCTTTCAACAGTGCTGCTTCAAATGTGACTGCTTCGTGAGCAAGGTGATTTCCAGCACAAGTAAGGGTGAGCCAGTGGGTTGGTGGATGAGTTCTGTGCTGAGAGGGTGGAGTATTTATAGCAATGACTAGTCATGAAGAGACTTAAATAAACAGAGATCCTCTTTCAAAGTTTTCTCTCAAATCCGAATTCGATCTCTCATTTCTCTGAAATAGATTTATAGGGTCTACATTTACGGAGTACAATCTGCTGTATTCTCGCAATATGCGTTCCAGCGTGGCTTTTCGCTTATATTGCTTTTTTTTGGAGGCTTGAGGGATCACGCTGTGGCTTCCCATCTGCTGCATCTGCTGTGAATTTCACGGTGCAGAATTGGGCAACCTGGAGTCCTATGAGGCTCTTTCGCAAGGTGAAAGAAGTTCTCTCGCGCCCCTCTTCAAAGTCGTCAACGTCAATTCGAAGAATATTACAAAGCGGAATAAATGGCTTGGAGGCTTCCTTGCATTGAACCACCTTGAGCTCTCAAACTCATACCAGAAACATCTGCAACAATGGCATAAAGATGTTAGAAAGTTCTTTTCCAACCTGGGACATCTTCCCAACACAGACGACTACAGTCTCCATCAACTCTCGTCTATATATTGGAGAAAGGCAAGGCGGTCTGAGGAGACAGAAGTGGAAACTATACAGGACAGGTTCAATTCTCTCACCGTGTATGATATAGCGGTTCAGGGTTTTCACTAATTGTAACCAACATTAACAAACGATTAGCCTCCGCCTTTGGCATTTCTGTCGAAAATGCATTCAACCGAAATTCTACCCCCTGTTGCGAGAGGCCGTATGAGTCTGCAATTTTCTCCGCCTTACAAGAGGGGTGATAGTATTCTACTGGATATCAGAGCGTGCAATCGGAATTGCTGCACCAATTACCTTGAACCCCAATATCTGTGAGCTCAGACCAATTCAGCTCCCACATTGAGCGTCATGCATGCCAATCAAGGAGGGGTCAGTTATCAAGGGCTGCCCCGCATTTGGAACAAGAGTTTGGCTGGTAAATATGGTGTTATCCCCCTGGGTTCTGGGTGACTGGCCTTGTTAACAGAGCAACAAGAGTCATGGCTAATACTCAGATGCTTTTGGACTTATCTGACGGTCGGCCCACCGGGCCTTCCTACTCAAGAGACGAACAAAACACCCAATACCACCAATAGCAGTTACTCTTGGAGGGACATCAACAGCGTGGGCCACTGGGCCGAGTTTACTTATGCCCATATCTTGCAACGCTACGGGAACTTGCTTCAGTCTGCTGTGATTTCAAGTGAGCCGATGCCGACCTCCCCTCCACAGCCCATCAAAACCGAAGCGATGTTTGCCGTCCGGTTCACCACTTATATCCAAAGTCGGTTGCGTCGTGCGCTGCGAGCTGGGTCCCTGCACCTTGGACCCCAGTCAAACCTAGATCTTACTCCTATCACTGTCGATATAGGTGACGCAGCGCAGATCATTGACAACTTTCGACCAGACATTGTTTCCAAGCAGGAAGCATGCATAATTGCTCACCAAACCGCTGCCCGGGCGACCTGAAAGTATCTTGGAAGTGGGGGTCCAGCTGGATAACAGCATTATCCAAAGAAGATCGCCGGGAGTATAAGCAGGTCCTGTTGCAAGTCAATTTTTACATGAAACAGCACGATGCGCGGTACAGTTTTGTCTTAACTGATGCTGAGTTGGTACCAATCAAAAGGCTAGATGGGAATGGTAATCTGCTCGTGGCGCCGTTTATACCGTGGAAGGCGGAAGGGCCGGGAAGCTTGACCATTCTGTTGGGACTGTTAAGAGGAACTTTTGGCCAAGAAGGATTGTATCTAGTAATATTTCGTATTTGGCTGGAGATCCTTCTTTTGATCGCCTGCCGGTTAAGCTTGTTAGACATGCTGAAATTCCGAGAAAAAGAAAGGAGAGCGCGCTTCACTCCGAAACCTTTGACACACTCAGTTTCCTCCTTAATCCAGCAGCGTTCCCTTTCTCCAATGAATGTACTGTTTGGGTAAGTAATGGCAACATCAAAATCAATCCAAAGAACCCTCTCGGACCCAGGAACAATGAGGATGTTCTTGGTGTAAGGATCAATGTGTTCAATAAAGGCTGAATGGATTTGCTCGATGCCTTTGATTGCCTTGTCCATACGCTCTTTGCTATAGGTGACACAGTTCATCGGCGTGGAATGTGGTAGGTACCCAATCAGGATCGCGCTTGGATGGCCACTATCATGCTGAAAGGCGCTGAGGTGAGGTGCAAAGTTTGCTGGATCTACCTCTAGCATAAACCCATAAAAATTTGGCACATAGCCACCGTCACATATACCAAAGCGTTTTAGCCTGCAATAGGCCCTAATCTCGGGGCGAGAGCGGTTCAAGTCACGGACGCGGTCACTGGCATATCCGGGATCTCCAGTATTGTGGAACTAGTTCAAAGTCAGAAATGGGTATAGGTTCTGAGCCTTGGAAATCATGCAATGAAAGATCACCTTACAACTTTCAGCACGCGTGGCTTCCCACGGTAATCGACCTGAAATATTGAGGATACTTCTGAAGCCTTGGAGCAACTTGACAAAAGTCAAATCTGCGGGGTCAATTTTGATCTCGAAGGCGGCGTCCAGTCCCGTCTCACTTCGGTATATGGTCTCTTCTGGGCCGATCGCCATGACAGACACACACGGGTAGAGACTGGCTGCTGCTGAAGCAGAATGTAAGCCGCAGATGGAAAGATGTGATAAGAATCAGACGGCTTCAAAAGAAAGCACTGCCCTGTTGCTGAGGAAATGGCGACCAAAACTGGTCACATGATCTGGTAAAAAATATAGCTCTGCCCTTGTTTCGTTGCCGTAAGCTTTGATCGGGTAGGCTCTGAGTCTCGAAAAACCACTCGCGGAAACGGTTTTGCCACGGCAATCATAGTGACATACTTTTCTTAATGTATGGTTGCTGGCGCAAAGATCGAAATCTGGGGAGGCGACGGGAAGCTTGAACTCCAGTAGGTCAATTCCAATATCTAACCCGTCCATCATTGGATGGTCGATCGAGTCAGAGATGAACCTCGGATGATCCCATTTCCCGATCGGGTGGGCCTAACCCAGAATTAGTTAGAGAAACGCCATGCCAGATGTGGCTAGCGTAGATGCTGCACCTGCAGAAATCACAACATCCCGCGTTGTCATCGCATGAACATTGAGCAGCTTCAGTCTGTCAAGATCACTGGCGGAGGAGTCTGCAGCTATTCCACTGGCTACTCTAGAAGATATAGTGATCCTGTGAGAATGGCGGGATCACATGCAGTGTCTACTGAGCATAGTCAGAGTGATTGGTGGTTTGCAGTACCGCTGTTGCTGCCCTTTCAAGCATTCTACTCAAGATGCACCTTGCGGTCAATATCCTTGGCTGCTTTGCATAGGATCCAATCTGCTGAAAGAGAACTGGAATCCTGGCAAATACGAGTCTGCTTTTCAAAGGCTCCGAAAATGCTAGGCACGCAAGTTGGAAGGAGAAATGTCTGCAAAATCTCAGATCAACAAAGCATTCTCTTCACGAACAAGGATGATAGAACAGAAATGGAGAGCAGAATGTTGGCGGAACTAGAAACAATCTGCTCTTCTGGATTCTTGCCACCATAAGGTTTCCTTGGCTCCATGGCATCCTAGTCTCTTGATCTGATCGTCAGGATTTTTTTTTTCGGAGAAATATTCCAGCAAGCATCGATTTCCTGGGAGGATTTTCAATTCATTCTAGGGTGTCATGGCTCTAGGCTTGGGAAATATCTGCCATATTGCCAGAGACCCAAGTTCTAACCACAAGGTCCTCAGATATGGTTTCACTGTTTTTCCTTGGGAAAAACACCCTTGACCGGGTTTCTTCCCGCGGCTACATGATACACTCGCCTTCACAAGCAACACTCATCAAGGCCTTTTCTTTCCTTTCCTTTTCTTTCTTTATTTTTCTATTTATTTGTTTTGGGTTCCATGTCCTCCAAGTTCTCAGAAAATCCTTAGAGATCCTGAGGAAGGTGAAAGATCAAAATATCTGCTCATTATTCTCTGTTTCCTGATTTGCGGGTCGCTCTGTCATTAAGCATGTGAATTTCAGTGATGATACAATACGAAGTGACATTCTCTTGAGGCATTGTGTGCTCCATGCGCTGACCCATGTACTACTTGCATGTGGATCTCACCCTGCGCTCGCATTCCGGAAGATTTGGTGGTTCTTCAATAGCGGCTATCCGAGTGATTTTTACCTTGGTAGCCCCTTGACGCCTTTATGACATGTACTTGACAAGTATAAATATACGCTCATTCCGTATGGTGGGCAACTTGAGCGCGGCATCATCTCTGTTGCGCAAAAGGTTGCTCTCCATCACTTAGTTCTGCAAACCTCCTACTGCTTTCTGACCTGTCCTTTTCTATTAAACATGTTTGCAACGGCTATTGTTGCCGTCCTGCTTGCAGCGGCTAGCTCTGCGTTCCCGCACGCCGCTCGTGAAGCATCGAAGGATGACGCGAATGTCAGCGTTCAGCTTAGCGCTGTTGGAAACACTATGGTAAAAGCTGTTGTGACCAACAGAGGCGACGAGGCAATATCTGTTTTGAGGCTGAATAGTGTACTCGACTCTTTCCCATGTCGCAGGGTTGATGTGTATAAAGAAGGTAACGAATTGTGACACGCTTTAATACCACACATATCTGACATGCTACTAGGGAAGAAGATGGAATTTGAGGGACTCCTTGCTCATCATGATATGCAAAACTTACCCGATGACGTCTTCGCCACTTTGAATCCAGGTGACTTCGCAGAAAATACCTTTGACATCGCTGAGACGGTGGATCTATCAGCGGGTGGCCCTGTCACAGTCTTATCTGAGGGAGTCTTTTTACTAGCTCGCTCTGACAGTACAAGCATTTCGGGGATGGTTCAATATCGCTCTAATGAACTCAAGATAGACGTAGATGGTGTGCTTGCTGCTAAAGTTGAGAGTGCCGGGGGTTTGCGAAGACGGAACCTAGACAAACGAACTTCATTCTACTTGGATACTTGCACCCCAGCGGCGATGAAAAATCTTACAGCTCTGTTAAAAAGTACAACTGATTATGCTGATGCTGGTGCTCGAGCAGCGACCAATGGTTCCCTGGCCACTTTCGAAACATTTTTCAAGAAGACTGATCTGCGAACCCGTCGACCTGTTGCCAGCCGATTCCGAGCTATCTCCAACGAAACCAGCATCATAGATGGGGGTATTGTCCGACTCACATGCTCAGATGACTTCTGCAAAGGCACAATCAACGCAATCGCCGACTCATGGATTAGCTTTATCACAATCTGCCCTCGCTTCTTTTCGGCCTACCCTCCTACTTCTCCGGAATGCCATGCCACCGATCAGACATCCATTCTTCTCCATGAAATGACCCACATGCGCCACGTTTACTCCCCAGGAACTAACGACTTTGCCTATGGATACGACAATGTCACCAAGCTCCCTGCCGATCAGGCGATCAATAATGCTGACACTTTTGCTATCTACGCTGCCGGTAAGTTTTTTTTTTTTTGGTTTTTCGTTCCTTATCCAATAGCCAGTTCCATACCCGGGCTCATATATTTCCACAGATTCCTACCGTGGATGTTGAACGGGAAAGTGATAGGTACGTGTCGCCGCTGTATGCCCACAAGTCTTTTGCGCCGACACTTGGGGGGAAAGTCTCTCTAAGACCGCATAGGAGAAACCCAATTTCCTTATTCGCCCATTAGGCGTAGCGTGGACCAGGACATTGTCATTGAAATCGCCGAGGATTGTATTGTTCAAGCACTTATCAATCCCTACCTTCTCTTCGCAATAGATACAAAATCCCTAAGAGTGGTGTTCAATGAGATTCTCTCTCTATTTCATCTAGATTTACAAGCTTTAACACCATACTCCGTACTTAAAAAAAAAGGAATAAAAACTACTTTCAAAATCCTTCTCTTTTGAATGCTACACGGGGTACTAGAGCGAGGAATCAGGTAGTGCCTTGTCTAGCTTGGTGATTCGTTGAGTATGGTGAAGTGCTCAAGGTATGGAGAGTATAGAGAGTGTGAGCCAAGCAGTAGCAATAACTAGTTAGTTAGGTAGTTGTGGGACTAATGAACATCAAAGCAAATTAGGGGTAGCCACAGTAATGAAGCTCATAGTGCACAGGCCGCTCGGGCAGCTATAAGAGATCATGGTAGCACAATAGTATAGTTAATAATGAAGGTAGTAAACTAATCAATACATCACTAAAGATGATGAAGAGATTGACTAGTGCAGGCTGTATAAGTTGGTTAAAGGAGAGGGTTGAGCCTCATGCCAGAACAACAAACTTTGTTCGGAGATTCCGGAATTCCCTGCTACAGTGCTTCATAGTCTGCAAGTAGATACACTGCCAACATATCATGACCTTTTTAAGGACCAGCCGCATCAACCTGTTGAAGGCCTCTAACAGACGCAGTATCCATATGTTGGAGAACCCCGTTGCTGATCACAGGCACAAGGCTTCTTCGCGCCACAATATACTACCTGTCCTCTACCACACTGTCTGGAGGAGCGGCATCTCTCTTTATAAACATCAAATCCAGACTAGTCAGTATATAGTACTCTACAAAGAGGGTTCTTCAATTCAAGGATAAAGCTAAGGACAACAAGAGGAGAAATGGATTGGATGCACATACTCTTTACGCCATTGCAGTAAGCAGTGGTGTGAAGACCACGTGGTTGTGGTGCTTCCTGGTTGGAGCTCACACTCGAATCTTCGACATCTGTGTTAGGAAGGGTTTATTGTTAGCAAAAAAAAATTTTAATTTTATTTCTGTCTATTCCAAGGCAGGGCTTTGTTTGATTTAAAGTACAGGTATCTTAACTTACCAGCTTGAGAAATGTCCGCCGTGTCCCTTTCAGCATGGACCTGTGCTGCCAGTGCCCCCAGGGGGAGCAAGAGAAGGTAGGGAAGTAGCTTCATCTTTTTTTTTCTGATGCTGGGTTGCTGGGACAGGAGTTCTGAGGCAGGTTTTAAAGATATTCAGAAGAGAGAATGGGAGTGGGAGGAGGGAGAAGTGAGTGGTCTTTATATAGCTGGATGGGCGAGCAACCTACATCAGAGCTTGGATTACATGGTTGCCCTAAAGAAGGAAGGGTTGGCGGTGGCATCTCAGTGCAGAGTGAGTTCACTGGAGTGTTTCTTTTTTTGAAGTCTGGCAGATAGCTGATGATTTGTTAGAGTTTCCAATGTTCCAGGTGTTACTGAGTCTTAAGACAGAGCCTGGACAACATGCGAAGAGAAAGCAAAACTTGGTACTAAGAAAGTATTAGAATTTGGATGGGGTTAGCTTTCAAGCACAGAGATATGCTGTACTCCGTACTCCATACAGAGTAAAAACAAAAAAGACGCATTGCATTCTGTGGCTTTCTACAGCCTAAGGGAAAGAGATCATTCAACCAGGCCTATATGTGCATCGCACAAGTTATACTCCCACTCGTCACGTCGCAAAGATTGATTGTGGCTGTTTTTATGTTTGGCCTCACACCATCCCAACAAAAGGCTGGTTGACAGCCGTTTCATTTCAGATATGTTTCAGCTCACAGCTTTTGTTAATCTCTCCAATCCAAACTAACTTCCTGATCATCAGCAAATTTTGGTGGGGACCC